CCCCCCCCCCCCAGAAATTCTGGATGTTGCAAAAAGACCTTCTTCAACGGTAAGTCTCTGTCGCCGTGGCCCGTAAGAGGACGCCTGTAAATAGAAAAACCTGTTGAATGCAACAATTTCAAAGTATTTTAACCTTAAAATGTAAAAAACTAGGTGATTTTTAGGCAGAAATTGAAGGAAGATTAGCGCCACAAGTGCCTCGAGATGCGCTCAAGTAGAGTTAAAATTTCAAAAAATTTCCGGAACCTTAAAATGCATAAAACTGGGTTAGGCAGAAATTGAAGGTAGATTAGCGCCGCAGGTGCCTCGAGATGCGCTCAAGTAGAGTTAAAATTTCAAAAATTTTCCGGGGGAGGCCCCCCGAAGTCCCTTCCTGAGCAGGGGGGTATTCCATACCCCCCGGTGGTGGGAGGTCAGGCCCCCCCTAGCAAAATGACCTAGCTACGCCTATGCTCTTGCTCTTCGATCGGGTAACCCTCAATCTTCAATGTAAAAGTTTCAAGTACACTCACTAGGATATCTTGCGCTTAGCTGAGAACTATGTCTGCATGCTAAGGTAGAGGTTATTTTTTTTGTAACTCTGCCTCTTTTCCCTGGACAATACGCTCATTTAAAAAAATATATATGCATTTCTCAGTTTTTTTAAGAACAGTTCTTAATAGTCTGCAGAACGAAGACTGCAGGTTGGATTATTTTTTAAAAGAATCTGTTCAGTGCTCTTTTCCTTAGCATAGCAGCAATACCATGATGGGATTTATTTTTCAAATCCAATAGGTACTACTATGAGTAAATGAAACAAATTGAAAAATCATTTGCTTTCACCAATGCATGTATCGTTTAAGAATGCGTTTATATTTTAGTCCAGTCAAAAGGGGGTAAAGTAGAGACAATTTCTGAGAAAACTTTCTGATATACTATTCCTATGTATTTTTCATCGCTGAATCCGACTTTCATATTTGCGAACACCGTGTCATGGCTCCCTCTGCGCCTCACTGCCTCTTGTTCTATGTATAAAAACCACCCATTGGCTATATACAGTTCTAGTTGGAGCCAGTGGCGTGGTGTGAATTGCGATATATCGATTGTTATGCCATTTAAACCTATGGTAAAGAATAGATTATTAAGGTGTTCGCTGCGAACACCCTATTTATCGATCCTTCTCCATAGGTTTAAATGGCATAACAATCGATATATCGTAATTCACGCCACGCCACTGGTTGGAGCGCACTTAAGCTATGCATTCACGACTGCAAAAATGTTATTGGAAATCGACAAGCCCAGCGTGCATGGAGGCTATTTCCAAAATAACCTTCCGTCACATTCTTACGGCGCAATGATACAACTATTTGAACTCTCCGGAATGCGTGAAGTATCACGCCGCATTTGAAGGCGTTCTCAAAACAGCCAAGTTCCGATACCCGGATTATCGTTTTGCGTACTTCATATTCTTTTGTTGTATTCCGCACCACTTGTTTATTTTTAATCCTCATATAAAACCACCCATTTGCTATACACAAAATAGTTGTATCATTGCGCCTTAGAAATGCGACGGAAGATTACAATAATGGAACTTCTAACCCGGAGAACGAAGGCCGACCGGCCGCACCCGGGCCATGAAAATGGGGGAGGAACGGAGGACCCTGCATCTGCGCTTATACGCCCCCCCCCCCCCCCATTATCTACTGCCGTTCTTGAAAGTCAATAACTCAAAATTGCACTCCTTTTATCATTCATACTTACACTTACTACGATTTAATGATTAATTGCCTTGAAAACTCTCTTTTTGCAGGGAGAGTAACGAAAATTGCCTAACTTCAATAATTGCCTGAAACTTTGCAACGCTGTAACGGTATTTGTTATCATCTTAACCATCTTGGACTCGTTTTAATGGAAATTTTATGTATTTTAATTTAGAAAATAACTACTTATGCCATAATTTCCATGATATACGAGTTATCTCGGTTTTTTGGCCGAAAAACGCAAATTTCGGCCATTTTTTCAAGATGGCGGCTTTGGCTCGCCTCAGATCTGTTCGCAAATATGAAATTCGGATTCAGCGATGAAAAATACATAGGAATAGTAATTCAGAAAGTTTCCTCAGAAATTGTCTCTACTTAGCCCCTATATGTGCTCTATTGACTGGACTATTTCGCCAATTTTTTTTTCCAACACATTTTAAGTTTTTTTGTGATTTCATTCGTGCAATGATACTATCCTGGCCTGGTTCTTAGAAAAAAAAAAGCTGATCCAGATTAAAAATTGATGAAAATAGAGGACTTTTTACAAAAACCGAAAAATGCGCGCGCTGTCTCTTTTAAGGCAAATTATTTGAGTTATTTTCACGGAAAAAGGCCTGGAAAAATTTTCATTTTGGCCTGGAAAACCTGGAAAAGTCAGGGATTTTTTTTTCCAAAATTAGCTGGGAACCCTGACTCACACACTCGCCACGTAATGTCTTATGTGCACAGGTAACTAATGGCACATACGTTGTTTCTAAACTGAGCCACAATATTGTGGTTCTCAATCGCAAAATAAGGAGTCATTTAACTCAATGTAACAAATCCAGGCCATGTTAAGGAAACCATGGATTTCCTCCCTTTTCTCTCGAATCACGCACAGGGAAAACTCCTCCTCTGGAACGCTTTCTCGGGAATGGACCATTAGATAAGGTACGAATTTCAGCATTCTGATACACGTTTCTTAACCAAAATTTTACGTAAAACACGATGCACACAACGAAAATTACCGAAATTAACTCCTTACGAAGATATTTAATGATTCTTGATGCGTGAATTCAAACCACCCGCTCATGAAAACTCAATGCTCTACGTGATTCACATCGCGCGCTAAACGTTATCATGACAGTCTCTGCGATATAAAAATCTGGCAACCTCAATCTTGACGCTTTGGCTCAGTTATAGCAAATTGCTAATAGTTTGAACAACACATGGTGGGAAATGAACATTGCTCGATTGAGAAGCTTGCTGAAACCGTTGTAGTGGGCGATTTGACTTATGTAGAGCTTTGAGTTTCTTGTGAGCGGGCAGTTCAAATTCCTCGTAACCAATGTGAAATAAAAACGTTAATATCTCCGTTAGGAGTTGGTTTCAGTAATTTTCGTAGTGTGAATCGTTTTCTACGTGAAATTCTGGTTAGGAAACATGTATCAGATCGCTTAAATTCGTACCTTGTCTAGTGGTCCATTCAGAGAAAACTTTTTTTTTTTTTCTTTTTTTTTTTTTTTTCCACAGGTATCTTTCAGTTAATTTTTTAGCTCCCAAATCAAAATTTTTAGCAACGCTTAACGTTTTAAACTTTGGTGCACGTCACCAATAAACTTCATAATTCTTTTTTTCAGAACTATCAGCTATGCGGCAGAAATTGACGTGCCTCATCTGCGGTAACTTGTACAAAAATGAAGCCTTTTTACAAGTTCATCGTAAGACCCATGAAACTGAAGGGAATTATTGTGAACTTTGCGGAAGGATCTTTCACCTCAGGTCTACCCTCCAGTGGCACATTCGAAACGAGCATGATATTATTTCCTCCTGAATCCTTTGTTCTGTTAGCGTTTCAACCATCATCTACGCTCTTTTCATACTTTCTCTAGTTGTCTCAGAGGTTACTGTTTCATTTAACCAGAAAACTGGAATGAGCTTGTCACAGAGCGACAGAGCACATGGGAGAATCTCATGAGCCGTCCGCAGCGCGCATGGCGCACGACCCACCTTTCCTTTTAACACTTCATCTAGCGTTGAGATTTCACTAATTACTTCACGTGACTAGTGTGTAATTTTAAAAGTCAAAAATTTAAAAAAAAAACTTTTAAAAAAATTATACGGTTTACGAGTTCCACCGCCGAGGAGCTCTCCCCGCAAGAAATCGTTCACCACCCGCCCCCCGCCGGGAACGCGCACGGACGCCTTCAAACCTAAAGAGATACTGCACGCATTGCGCAATGCTTGAAGTATCCCTTTAGGTTTGTAGGCGTCAGTGCGCTTTTGCGCAGTTCGCAAAAACTTGCCCACAATTAGTAAGTCAGGGTGTTAAAATGTAGGCAATTTGACATCAAATTCGAAATTAGCAACTCAAAATACAGCAGTCACGAAACTTTCGTGATATTTCAGTCATTATCCGACTTATTTCTTCCTATTCTTGAATTCTGGACCATAGTGCTAGACTCAAGAAATTCTCCCCTGCGCTCAATCGGTTATAGAGGAGGGATAGGAGATATCAACTGGCCGATTATAGTTGTGTTGAGCGATCGCAGAAGCCCTTTTTTCGTAAATTTATTTGTTTTGATAGTTTAGCTAATGTAAGCATTTCTGTATGGGATGTGTTTTATTAACAGCCTCGTGTATTCGAATTGCATTTCATAATAAATTTAAAAATATACTGGAAAATTATAGAATGAGCATTATTTTTCAAACTTGTTTGCGTCAGCGTTCTTGCATTTCGGAATATTTTACATTTCTTCACAATTTTTGGCGTAACTTTGTTGAAAAATTTCATAACACAGCACTGTGACACTTGACGATTCTTTTTTTCAGAGCAAGTGGATACAGTCATTGAACATGGTGGTATGAGAAATTTTTCATGCTCTGACTGTGGAGCATGCTACAAAAATGCGGACAGTTTGCGTGCCCATCGAAAAACCCATACGGGTGAAACTTACTGTCAACTCTGCAGAAAGACCCTGTCAACGAGGTTCAATCTCCGGATGCACATGATCAGTGCTCACAAAATATGCCTAAAGTGATGCTTTGTTTTGGAAAAGTTTCGACCATCACCATTGTTCTTATCATTTGTTTCTAAACTACATTAAAACACTCAGTTATGTTTGGTGAGAGTTGGAATGGGTTCGTTACCTACATATGCAGAGATAAAAATGAGTCCTTCTTTATTTATTTAAAAAAATTTATTTATTTGTTTCCAGGGGTAATTTCCCTTTAATTCTTTGCGAAAACTTCACAGTGCCCCCTGAGAATGATTTCCCTGTCATACATAAAAGCTTATTTTGTAACCGAAAAAAGAAAAAAAAATTGGCGATGATTTGTTTTCTGATTGACGTTTTTAATCATTTTAAAAGTAATTATTATTCATACAATGATTGAATTCTGTATTTTTCTAGAATTACTTTTTTCATTCCTCTTTTTTGCTCTTCACATTCAATGTAAGTTATTTCATCAGGTGTAGCTTGTTTAAAGTTATTCTTTTAAATATGAATGAGGAATTTGACCATCTTTGTGTGGTAAAGCTCTTTCCTTGTTTTAAGCGCTCAGCTGATAGGGAGCGCTTATTGATTTCAACCTTTCTTTAGAATTCTAGTATACTAGTGGCAATGTTATCAAATGGTGCACCGGCTCATTTGGATCGCACCGGATAAGGGCCTCACATACTTAGAATAGACTAATGTGTGATACCTTTATTTAATGCTTCTGATATCGAACCATGGAGGACAGTATAATCTTTTTTCTATAATTTATTGGTTTAATGGTAGGGTAGTTTTCTCAAAATTGATCTTTGAAATTTTCATATCGGCGAGTTTTTTTCTCATTGGTACTCATCTTCTTCGGGGAACTTAAAAACGCGCATACATAGAAAATGTTGTTATGGTAATGCTGTGATTGCAAAAATTAATACGTCTCTTACCAGCTGAGTTCTTTTTAGATTTTTTCACAACCTCCGATGCGCCATCAATTGATAAAAATTGTAATTTTCACATTAAACGCAGACTGACAGCTGAGCGCTTCTCTCATAACAATGTATAGAACTTTCTTGCTTGTTTTGTGTATTATTTTGAAGAATACAGACCAACAATTTTACAAAGCAAAGTGAAACGTTTATTTTAAATACCTCTTTTATACACATCATTACACATCAAGTTGACAATTTGCTTCTTCTCTATAAGAGAGGATTCACCAAAATATCTCAGTAATATTGCTGCAAGGTGCATGTTTGAGATTGTTTGATAATGCTGATTCAAATTTTAAGATAATCTGAAAAAACCTAAAGTTGACTTTTTGAGTTCCAACACTTCTGCTTTTTTTTAGTCATTTAAATGAAAATTCAGCTGAATTAGCGTTACTATATGATGCTTATATTTTCCTGATTTTTTATTACAGTTGCAATGGCAATGAACCACAGACCACACGTTTGCAATGTATGTGGAGCCTCTTATACTCACTCATCAAATCTAGCGAATCACAAAAAAGCACATACGGGTGATACATTCTGCAATTTGTGTCTTAGAGTTTTTGCGACCGTCCAGTCGTATCAGAGACATATGATGCGGCACAAGACATAGTCACCATCATGGATGCCTCATTATTTTGGTGGCACTTTCCAGAGAAACTTTACCACCTAGAGTAATAATTCATTTTAAAATTCATTATATGTACTTGTTCAAGAGAATAGACTACATTTTTTCAGGTTTCTTTGTTGAATTTTTTATGGCAAATTCGCTTCAGACTGAAGTAACAAAAAACATTTTGTCAGTTATCAAATTATGTATTTTACAGAACTTTGCAAAAAGTAAACTCAGATCCTTTTGTTGAATTTTGAATTATGGCGCGGCCACTGTGGTGTTTGAGAACAGTCCAATCAAATACCTGTATGGTGAAGGTGCATAGGAAAGATTATAATAGTAGACTTTAGATAGAAGGATGTGGTGTACCAAAAAATTAGGCCGTTGTGTAATATGAGGTTCTTTGATATTGTGATTTACTGACGTCCAAAGCATGAATTCTGTAACTTGACTCCCAATCTTACAATTCCTTTTCAAACCAGATTCTCTGACCTAATCACCGTGGACCAATTTTTTTCTCTTTCGTTTTTCTTCTTTTATTTTTTTTTTTAACAAAAATATAAAAAGTATGGACACGAGGTCTTCCAGAAAGTTCAAGAACTTCATGTCCACTAGTTTGCCAGTTAAACTATCTTGTCACAAAAAAATAGAAAAATCTATGATTGAGTTACAGCACTCTTGCTTCATACAGCAGAATTGCCTGTGTGGTTCTTGTGAATCTTTACGTGTTGCACTGACTTTTCAACTCTGACAGAATTTTAAGTTTAAGTTTTCTTTTTTTTCTCAACTTCAACCATTTTATAAGTAATTTCACAATGTTAACCAAATGTTTATTTCAAATAAAGGTTTCAGAAGAATAGCTGTGCATTTAATTTAAAAAAAGATCTAACCTTACGAACTAGCCAGCCTTACCATTACCTCCGGTTGGCGTACAAAAAAAGAGCATCAGTCTTATTCGATCTTCTTGAAGAATAATTGATTCGATGTTCATGGTGTTCATTATTTGATGCTTTCAGAACACTTTACCTCGCAAACTCTAGCCAACAATGCAAAAGAGAAGCCATGGGTATGCGAAACTTGTGGTGCACGCTACAGACATCGCACTAATTTAGCCAACCATAGGAAAGTTCACACAGGCGAAACATACTGCGAAGAGTGCCAAAAAACATTCGCAACGAAGCAATCTCTGCAAAACCACAAACTCCTGACTCACAAGCAACCTTATTGGTCCTGATAGTGACTTTGACTTTCTGTTGTTTTTCTTACCCTGTTCTCATAGTAGACTTTGTGAAACTTTGACTTTATTTACTTAAAATTACGTTATTTTGTACTTCCGAATGCACCTACAGTCTTTGTATTCGGTTAAAATCAAGTAAAATTCTGTTGACCCTTGTTTGAAAACTTAAGGAATAGTGTCTTGTTTTTTATTTCCTTTGTTAAAACCTTGTGACTTTTTTCTGGCATCACTCTCTGTAACGAATATGATGTGAGTTTCGATACTTAATTGTTCTTAATAAAAAATGTTTGGCACCAGTTGGATTTTTAGATCTGTAGATCCAACTAACTACGATATGGTGAATGAAATGAAGAGAAACACAATTTTTGACGCGGAATGTCTGTTTGTATTTGTAATGAACTTAGATACCTTAGATTTTACAAAAGAATGAAATTAATTGTCACACAAGTTTATAAGTTGCACAGTGTACCTATGGAAAATGCACGATGTATCAGAGATCTGAATAAGAAACAAGACCTCGGGAGAAAAAGACCGTAAAGGAGTACAGGTCTAGGGTCATAGAATAAATAGACTACGTCAGTTAGTCTCTTTATTCTATGCTAGGGTCTACAAGTTGGAAAAAGACCGTAAAGCGAGGGACATAAGTCACGGGTCAGAAAGATGGAATGAGACCTCGATTTTTAGGCAACCCACGCTTATATATTCTTGCTGACGTCCCACGGGTGGTGAGACAACAAGGCTACGCGTGATTGGTTGGCTATAATCTATGTAGGTATCAGCTGCAAGTCTAGTCATTAAATTTATGGGACATTACTGAAGATTGTTGAAGGATAAAACTGAAAGTTGAAAAATGTACTGGATTGCGTGAGACTAAAGAGTTAAAATGAAAAATCTAAAATGTATGAGAAAAATATGAGGAGGTATTGACACTCTCTGCTGGGAAGAATATCACATCCACCAAGATGTCAACTTAACAAACGATACAAAAAGTTGATTTGAAACAGCTAGAAATTTTATCTCAATTTGAATTGTTGCACATAGAAATGACGTATGCTCCATACTTTCGTAAAAAATTACAGATTCAAAAAGAGAAGAAAAAAATCGATGAAACCTAGCATTGGTGAACTTTATTCTAAAATGATCATGGAGGAAGTGTGAGAGGTTGCAGCCCTTTTTCATAGCATTTGTGATACCTACATTTCTCTCTGAATCTAGAAGTCATATAAAACCAAAAAAAAATGAATCAGTCGAAAAACTTCTTGGGTAAAGGATTGTTTCTCATGGAAGAGATGAATTAAGAACGGAAATTTTGAAACACCGCAATGGAGATACGTGGTTTCGCACTTCAGTCGGACCGATACGGACATCCAACAAGCTTAAATAGTTGCATCAAGTCCCCGTCACCGCCGACCAACGCGTGTGTCGATCGAATCAGTTACAGGTATAATGCGTAGGAAGTCAAAACGCCTTCAATTTTTTGAACGCAATACGGACATCCCTCGAGGTTGTATAGTTGTATCAAGGCGCCGTAGCAAGTGCGTCCCATTGTTTATCGTTACAGACGAATATAAGTTGAGAGAGGCCAGTCATGATGCCTTCAATTTTATACATACATATTTTCGGGCATAATGAGAGACGACGTTTCTCCATTTGCGACGTTGCAGACTTCCTTAGAAATTTTATTTTTCTTTCGAGAAGCTGGTCAACATGAAATTTGAATTCTCCATGATTTCTCGTATTCGATAGCAGAAGATTTGGTTCAAAACTTAAAGTCGTAAATTTGGATTGTTTCTCATGGAAGAGATGAATTAAGAACGGAAATTTTGAAACACCGCAATGGAGGTACGTGGTTTCGCACTTCAGTCGGACCGATACAGACATCCAACAAGCTTAAATAGTTGCATCAAGTCCCCGTCACCGCCGACCAACGCGTCTGTCGATCTAATCTACTACAGGTACTATGCAGACTTCCTTAGAAATTTTATTTTTCTTTCGAGAAGCTGGTCAACATGAAACTTAAATTCTCCATGATTTTTCGTATTCGATAGCAGAAGATTTGGTTCAAAATTTAAAGTCGTAAAGGCGCTGGAGACCCATATATACTTTTCTCAACTGTGTCCATTCTTATTTTATTTACAGATTTTTATGTGACAAAAATCTATTTTTTTTTTTGTTGGTAAAAGTATCAAGGAGGCCCGAATCATCAACAGCATTTTTTGAATAAAGGATGGCTCTTGTAATGATCTTGCCGGAAAGAGACAATCTGTATCAAGTTTAACTGACTAAGATCTCATGGGCATCCATTTACCTTAAGACACTGTATCTAAAAAGGAAATATACTTATCAATTTTACAGGTTCTTCATTGAAAGCATTTGATGCAAATTCTGGTAGAATGCAAGTCCAAAATGTTCAACTAATTGGAGTTAGAAACCAGTGTCCCCATTGCGCAGGGCCGTTTAATTCGGCTCAGATTCTCTCTCGGCACATCTCGGCAAAACACACCGATATCCAAGAATTACTACTATGTACTTCATGTAATAAATGCCTCAAAACTAAATGGAGTCTATCAACTAATATCAGCCGTTATCATAACAGGAGATCTTCTTCTGAAATTTGATTGAAAATGTTTTCTTTTCAAATATTTATGCAAACAAAGATGCTCCATTGGTTTTTCCCTATCTCTTTTACTTACAAAAAATCACCGGCTCAATTTTACAGTGAATAGACTTTTTTTATAAAAAAAAAAAAATAAATATGTAAATAAATTATATTTGATTGGAAGAAACAATTTGACACATTGCACCACCCTGGCATGAAGTAGACAAAGTCATATGTCTGCTTACACTAAAATTATTGAACAGCAATACATGACGAGTGAAATAGCCACTGCCCACTAACTAAGTCCATGTATTTCATTTTCAGTACGAATATAAATTCAGGATAAATGCATCATATTCTCCCCTTTCATTTGTTTCTTTTAGTCCTTAATTCTTTTTCAATGCTCTCCAATTTTCAGACAGTAAACATGATTGTCTCTGCAACCGATAAAAATCATATCATGATAGACTATAGGTGAAGAAAAAACATCCCCAGAAAGAGCGAATTCTCCCAACTCAGTTCCTTTATCAAGAGAGAGTAATTTAAGAACTCCATTGGTGCTGACTAGAATCGTTGCAAACAAACTATGACCAGTTACTTTGTCATATTGTAAGGGAAAAATGAATGGAGAAGCAAAATATTTACAACCAAATTTGATTTTCCATGATTGGATGGGAGCGTCTTTGGTGATCACATAACAAACTGCAGTTCCTTCTTGCGTTGCACATAATAACACATTTTCAACACCATTGCAGGGTTCATTTACGATGTCCGCATACATTGGTTCGTTCAACTCAAAAGACCAAAGCTGGAACACACACAAAAAAAACAAAGAAAATGAATTATCATCACAGTTTTTTTTTCCTTTTTTCTTCTTTGCACTCTTATTCTGACTTGGTAATAAACTTGGAGGAGGGATCTTCCTCTGTGACATTCACATGGAAATACAAAGTTATGGCCGTTCCATTAAAAAAGGTGAACACTATTTGTAGTTTTTGAAAACAAGGACTCTTCAAAAAACTCCATAAAATTCCCGGTACATTACAAACTAGTTTTTTGGATTTATGCCAAAAAGAAAAAAAAAAAATTACTATCAGCCTATTTTGACTGTGAACAACCAGCACTATATGGATCTCGATTGTGGTACTTGAAAATTTCTGCTCTTTTTCTACATTTTTAAGAAAATACTGCTCCGGTTTTTGCATGAAATTTCCAGCAAATGTTCTAGAGGGTATGAAACTTAAAGTATAAAACGAAACTAAGCACAAAAACAGATGATTAAATCTGCTTTATAGAAGTACAATGAGACAAGAGATTTGCAACATCACAAACAGGGGTGCGTATTTCAGTATTTTTACTGTTGATCGGCGAAAAGTTGCTGGATGAGGACAGAAAGAGGCACTATGAACGGTTGAGAGAACCGGATTTCCCTTAAACTCGTGGAAATAATAAGAAAAGAAGAGCATTGTAGGCAGTGATAGAAAATTACCTTGGCTCCTGTATCTGCTTGGAAACAAACACAGCACCCTTTGACGGATGCCACCAGCAACAGCCCCTGTTCCTCAAAGTAGCAAGGAGAAGAGAATATTGGTGTGAGCATTTCATGTGTCCACTTGATTCTCCGTCTGCAAATGTCGACAATATGAACATGGCCACTTAGAGTGCAGACGCAAATACAGCCAAGCTGTTTGAGGAGGAGTAAATTAGAATGAATACCTTTGTGGCCGACGAATAACTTCCATTTCAAATTTCCAGTCTGAAAACAAATGATTAATATTGAATTTATTTGTCTGATATTTTTCCATGAAATGTTTTCGATGAGTATTTTTCATAATTTAATGAAGCAAAAATCTCAAATTCGATGATCCAGCAGTTCCCTCATAAAAAAGATGTTAAGGTGGAGATTCTAAAACAGTGTGACAGGGAAAAGCCCTCTTTGCACAAAATTCCTCGATCATCACCCTGGCAAACAGCTTTGTCCCTCCTCCTTGTCCAGATACTTGACTAGAGACAGAATAGAAAAGCATGGTGAGTATAGGGATGATCTTCTAAGGACCAACAAGTCTTGCTCTATGTTTGTTCTAGAACTCTATGTCAGTTCTAGATAGACAGTGATGCGTTAAAAAGAAAAAAAAACACAAGGAATTTTGGTACCCTCACAGTTGATACTATAGTATCATTGTACATAGAGAGAAGGGCCATTTGTGTGTCGCTTTTTCATTCGTCGTAAAAGAGAGGCTGATACGATAAAATAAGATGGTGACATCACACAATCGTTGAGTTCCTTTTAGACAGAATTAGTGAAATTATAATGAAATATCTCATAAATAATGTGATTATCTAGTAATAAAAGAAGTTTTGAACTGATTTTAGGTCATAATAGCATGTTAATTCCAATTGGATTGATTTAAACACAGAATACTAGAAAAAGTACATATCCAGTATTTTCCTTGAGAGGGTTGGCTTACATTTCCTGAAGCCCATTGATCAAAGAATGTTTTATACCGTTACGTGCGACTGTATGAGTCTCATGATAGCCTACAACTCGTAAACCAAACAAGAAGCAGCAATACTTTCTCATATTAGAAAAATACAGATAGCTGCACTGTTCCTATACAGATGCTCTAATTGGCACCCCAAGCAAAATCATGCTTTTTGTGCCCCTCATGCCCGGCCCGATTTTTTCCATCAGGTTTTTTTTCATAAATTAAAATTCACTAATCTCAGATTCTAAACACCTTCGCAATGCCGCTATTTTCAGCCGTGATGTAGCATTTTGGTCAGGTGCCTCTGCTCTTGTCAACCAAATAACATCGCCCAGTCGATTCCTCAAAGCTGTGACACTAATTGAATCGACATATGCGAAAACGTCCGTTGTCCAATACAGGGTTTCATAATTGCGGTGGGTTTCTTTTGCCCCACAACACTGATGAATAGGATCGATCTCTTTTGTAAACGTTTAATTAGATTTAGAGAATTATATATAAAAATTTTTCTACATTCCTAACGGCATAAATCATCTTGTGTCGTTAAGTTACAAAGAAATTGTCCACTCAAATTCTGAGACACAGTCTTGGACATCGTACGTTTTCACATACGTTGATTCAATTACACAATCAGAAAGAGAATTCTCTATTCATACATATTTTAAAAATTCTTTTGTGAAAGGTCAAAAATGTTCCTCACCTCTTGCCCCAAACAGTACAAGTATAAGTCATAACTGGCGAAATAAACAGTCTGGGCCACTTGAAGTGCTCGTGATTTGATTAGACTTTGTGATTTGAAACACCAGATTATTTTTCCAGTGAGATTGTTAATTTTGCAGAATCGGCCATCAAAACAACCTGGAAGAGAGTAGGGAGAAAGTCAGAGCAAAAGGTACATGTACTTCAATAATTTACGCTTATCAGGCTCATCTTTCCTGATGCTTAGTAAAAATGGGCACTGAACAGGGAGCGTACACATTAAAGAACTTAGTCAGATGCTCTTCAGAGGCTGTTCAAGTATTAGTGCTAAAAAAAATCAGCTATTTCTTCCATTTAAAACCCACGTGAAATATCCACATTTAATCAAACAATACATTTTAATGCCAATTTGGTTGGCTTCCATAGAACATGATAAAATGATTGAAAAAATAATCGAGCTACAAGCTAAAAATAAATTAAACAAATAATATTTAAAACTACATAGAGGTGAGAAATAAATGTTCCCTAATGTTTCCACTTGTAGCACTGACGAAGACCGCAGTTGTTGCCGGTCAAAACTTTTGTTTTGATTTGTTTTGTTTCCTGTAAGTTTTTTATTATTCCTCATCTCTATGTAGTTTGAAATATTATTTGTTTAATTTATTTTTGGCTTGTAGCTCGATTATTATTTCAACCATTTTAATCAAACAATATGACAATCCTGAGTGATGCAGACTTCATACGACTTTTTATTTCTTTGAAAAATACATAATCATCATTAGTACACAAAGTTAATTGGAATTTCTCTGCCCCTTTCAAAAATATCCTCTGAAAATTTTGTGCAGAAACGCTCCGCAATGTTTCCTACAAGAATAAAAAAAGGAGAAATTTTGAAGCACCACAATTAAGATATGTGTTTTTTTTTTTTTTTTAATTTCACCATTGAATTGTATATACTTAAATATTTTGAAGAAGGGCAATAAAAAATTGACGGAACCAACCAATGTAGGAGAAACTTTCTGAACTCATTGGAGAAGACGAAACGCAAGCAGATGAAACTAAATCTGAACAAAAGTTGTAGGACGCTATTTGATCCCCTGAGAAACTGTCCAAAGTGGCAAACAACCCATGGTGAGATGAGATCACTAAATGACTGCTGCATCTAAAAATTATATCAGAATAAAATAAGCGTATTTTACAAAGGACTGAGTGAAAAAGAAAGTTGAGGAACGAAAGCTATTGCAAAAGGCAGTATTCTAACTGCACAAGATGGTGTACGTCAGATACACCTAAAAATTGGGCTGCATGTCTGAAAATAAAGGATGCTGCACCAAACAAGGTGCCTGAAAAATTAGCACAACATTGATTTCCATTGCAACCTTCCTTCTTGTAAAAGTTTTTGAGTCGAATCAATATCGAAATATAGAAAGTTCTTGTGGCTCCTGAAAAGTTGCGAACGACGCCTTGAAATTAGACTTCTTGGCTACTTAACTGGCTTCCAAATTCTACTATGAAGTTAAAACACTAGCGAAATCATTGTTTTGTAAGCAAGAGGGGGATTATGTTGGTCACAGCAAAGAAGCTGTGATAGACCACAAGACAAGCTGTAAATTTATGCATTGTGATTTTTTATCATAATTTCACAAAAAACATGATTTGTGCAATAAACATTAGTGAAAGCAGCTTCTATCCAAAATATTAACACTTCTTGATGCACAAAATCAAACGTCCTGAATTTGAAAATAAAACATCATCCAACTTGAGTTACACCTAGAGTTTTCATAGAAAAGTTTACAGTGGATCAATTTTTCAAAAATCAAGTTATCTGTCAACGGACAACTTTCAAATTGTTTTATTGATAAATGATAAGTTAGATATTGTCTCTGTGTAAAAAAAAAGGAAAAAGAACTTTGATGAATTTACCTGGATTTATGAAATATCGATGGAGAGTTGTCTACACATGACAAGAGATCTTTTTTCCAAATGATGCTGATTTTTAGCTTATTGAGGTTTGCACACTCAGGTGTTTTTATTTGAGCTAGATAATTAGTGTTTAAGTGAAGACCTCTCGCGATGACTGAACTGACATCTGAAGCCTTCAAGGATTTCCGTCGATCTCTGAAAATTTTACAATTTCTCTTAAATAATGTTTTCTTGTTTGTTGATCTCGAGTAAATTACTTTGAGGTAGAATTTTTGAGAGTCACCCAATTTTCTAGCTCTAAGGTGAAAGTTACCCTTCCTGAATGCATGTTTTTGTAGTTGAAGGAACCAGGATGAGTATTTGTACTTGTAACTTTTAAATTTTCCGGGAGGTTTTTTCCTGTGATGTTTCCACAATAACCATTTCAGTAACCGCAAGCTTTGAATGAAGGATCCATTTGACAAGAGTAAATTTAAAAGCTTGAACCGAGTCTTTCTTGGCAAATTATGATTCAAGGTAGATGTTAATTCAACTGCGATCAAAGAACTTCCTCCAACATCTTTGAAACCTCCTTGCGTTTCTAAGCCGTGTGATAGCCATGTATCTTTGAATCGTTCCAGCACTCTTTTGGAGGGCTCCAGGTTCTGTTGGTTGCTTTGATTGGAAACCAATTTTCTGCGCATTTCTTCCTCATTAAATTTACCTGACATAAAAAACATAAAGCTTTTAGCAAAACACTAAAAATTGAAACGTTCAAGCTCTTGGAAAACAGTTTAAAGGATTTGGAAAGGAAGAGATAAGAGTAAATGCTCCGCTCAAAAAGAATGAGTCCGACCATTGGCGGATCCAGCAAATTGGCAACATTGCCTTTTCTCCATTTAAACCAATGAAAATGTATCGATTCTTGGAGGGGCCAAGTGTTCCGACAAGAATCGATTATTTAGCGTAGGTTTACATGGAGGAAATCCAGTGTTGCCAAATTGCTGGATCCGCCTCTGAGTCCGACTAATCCTACTCTAATTGAGGTCTTTATGATAAGGTATTGATTTTCACAGTGAAGTAATATTTCTACTGAAACTTCAACCTTGTAAACAATTCTGGACCAAGTTACTGAATGTGCACTATGATAAATTTCAAATAGTGTCCTCTCATTTTCAGCAGTCATTAAACTTGATGTTGCTTATCAATGAGTTTGTGCCAACTAAAGATAAGGGAAAAATCTCAAAACATGTCTGTCATTGCCATATGAAATAAGGAAGCACAAAAGAATCCAGAATTTTTAAAGTTTTGGTGAAAAACACTAGTGCTACCCTCGCAAATAAATTCTAAGTATGTCTTTAAATTCTAGGTTTCAGATTGATTTGAGAACAATTATTTCCATGTTGTTGTGATGAATTCATACTTTTGTTATCAATTCTGCCTCCCATGATTACTGTGTAATTGTTATAACTATGCTGAAATAAAATTTGCCCCACTGGAAAATAAAAAATGTCATGCTTAAAGCAAGCAGTGTATTCAACTCAATTATATGACTTGAAGAATGACGGAATCATGCGAACAGCTTCTTTAACTCTCAGGTTTTTAAAGTGTGATTAGGTGAAAGTATAAAATTAGCAAAAGAAAGACAAAATGAAGAATTTGCAAGGGTCTGAAATTTGATGAATTTCATGTTTAAGTGGAATCTACTGAGTGAACTGAACACGGAGATACCTTTCATTCATTAATTGAACAATTATTAGAGGAGATATGACAAAATAACCGATTCTACTAAAATACATAAGTTTAAATGGGAAATTCCGCCAGTCACTAGGCGGTGCATTTTCTCACTTTTCAAAATATTTTTAAAGCATTTCCCATGTCAGAAGAGAATTATAAAAAATACTGTGAAATCAGTCCTTTAAGCACTTTTAGATGAAGCAATAAAAAATTTAAGTGCAAATTCTCCATTTAAAGTAAAAAATTATAAATACAAATTAAATCATAAAAAAAGAAAGAAAGAAACCCTACAAACCATTATTTGTCACTGGAATTTCATCAACCAAAATTAGGCGGTAAAATGGAGGGATAAAACGTCCAAAGGTATGGTGAAAATGGGATCGAATTTTTGAAATTTCATGTTGGTCTTGGCTGCAATCTGAAGAAAACAAAACATACAGGATGTTCGATTCAGGTTCATGAATGCAATAACAAGCAGCAACTGAACTGCATTGGCTCATTTTATCTTCAATTTCTTGCAAGTTTACTTTGATGCCATAAAATTTGATGAACCGATCTTTCCTGCCATAAAAGTAAAAATGTCCCTGTGAAACCTGAAAAAAGAACGAATAGAACGGTTTTAAAGCATCATTTGTAAAGAGAAAAATATAACCTCAGGATTAGTTAGATGGTCATTTGTCATGGATTCAAAACTTGAAACAAGATTCAATGAAGCATATTTTTGAATACTTTGATTATATCAATTGATGAAATTACTTAGAATGGATTCAATCTAACAGAAGGCTTGATTACAGTACAGTGTTTTCAAAATCGGGCAACCTCTTTTTGCTATAAAAAATAGTGAAAATATGTACAGTAATAGAATACTCTAGATCATTCTCCTTTAAATTAGAAATTTTTTTGCTATTCTAAGAATTTCTTTGTTAATGATGAAGATGCAAAATTTTGAAAATATTGCAATTGAGTTAGTTCCCCCTTAAATGCCATTCAACTGATGAGCAACAAAGTCACCTTGTAAAATCCTGGCTTCTAATTTGTTAAGAATTATGTTGCATCTTCGCTTCTCCTATAAATCCAAAATCACATGACTCATAAACAAAAGATATAGAGGCAATCTATGCATAGAGAAACATCTAAAGCCATTCTGAGGGGAATAAATGAAATCAGATCAATCAACTGAGACTTTTTGAGCTCTATCATAATTGGCAAAAATTTTTGTTCAATGAAGCAATTAAAGACTGTCGCACAAAAATTACCCACCTTCACTAAATCGCCTGTTTTGCGTTCTGTGGGGCAAGATGTCTCATCACTAACGAAGCATAATCTACTTTGTGTACCTAAAAATATTTAAACAAGAGGTCAGACGAAATTTAGTGACAGTTCCTCACCTTCCAAGCAAAGTATCACAAGCGCTATTTGTGATTAGGCACTGTGTTGCCAAACTATATTAACAAACAGAATCACCAGAAATGTTTACCTAATTTTTTGTCATCCTATTTTACCTATTTTGTCATCAAAGTTATACCCTGACATTTACAGGACAGCAAGTGTTAAAGTTTAAAAGAAAAAATTAGAACAATATTCAAATGTTCGGCAACATAGCGTTCAACCATAAATGATGCTTGTGATAATTTAGCCAGAAGGTAACGAGTTGACCGACCATCCATTAGAAATTTGAATGATCAAAATTTCGAGTATTCTTAAAAAGTTCTTGACTTAAGAAATAACTAATTCTTTATTTAAAAAATAAAGAATAAACCACGAGGGATGCTCATCATATTGTCTCACCTTAAAATGGAAAACAAATATTCATTTTCAGTACACTTAAAAACTTAATGTCTTCATTAAAACAAAAACCTCAAAGACAGAAATTATTCGGTTTCGCTGGCCATTTAGATTTTTTCTCTGACTTTTCCAGATTGCCGTAAATTCCCTATTTTCACAGGTGTCCCAGGCTGCAAAAAACCCTGAAATGTACATTTTGCATAGTTGTACAATTTTTTCCTCCAAAATGATATGGATATAACTTTGCAACAAATATTTGCGACTTTTAAATTGAGAGTTGCTTTTTTGCCCTAACATGAGATGGAAACTTGAGAAGATAAATAAATTCACTCACCTAAGATCAATTCGCTAATTTTATTTCCAGCACTGTCAGAGTATTCATTATCCACATCAATTTTCCAGTATGTGCTAGACAAAGGAATTCCAAGTGGGATCTTGTCCTCTGCTCCATCATAAATTTCATCAAAAGAGATTTTTGAATAAGAAGCCCAGCAAGACATCTCGGTCAAACCATAAAGGTTGAAAATCTCAGTTTTGTTCTTCGGCGATTTGAACGATTGTAAAATGTTGAAGGAGATACACTCTTCACCACCAAGGGCAAGAACTCTTAATTTTGTCTCGTCGTTCAATATTCTGCCACGAATTTCAGGCCCAGTCCATCGTCGGAACAAAGATGGAGTAGTTTGGAGAATGGACAGTTGGTGACCTTTCAACACATTCGGCAAATCTTGTGAGGGAAATAAGGTATCCAGTAAAAGTCCTGGATGAGCTTTGATGGAGTTTCCAAGAATAATCAAATTAGCACCTGTTGTAATTGCGAGGAAAATATCAACTATACTTGGATCAAAAGTGAGGGGTGCGGAGAGGAGTACAGAATCGTGTTCATTTATGCTGAAAAGTTTCCTGTAAAAAGTAGAAAAATGATGTCAATAATCGGATCAGGTGGTGTTAATGATGCATTTTACACTAGTTTTGACAAAAAATATCATAGGTATTAAACAAGCTGAAAGAGTAGGGCAAAAGAGCAAAGAGCTTACATAGTTACGTTCACGGCTTATAAGATTGAGAACAATTTTCTTCTTCTTCAAACCGGCCACTAAAAGATTTACTTAACTGCCTGAGCGAGGTGAATCTCTGAGCACAAAAGTGTCCTCTTTGAATCAAAGGGCGTTGAGGGCAGAGGATTTGGTGAATTTTTTTGAGAAGTTGGAGTTTTGGTCATGTCATGTAAAACTCTTCTAGAGGTGCATATACTTTGCACAGAGACTGAGTGCTGGCGCTCATTTCCCCCTTAATATATTATTTAAAAATGTATCTGTCCTAAGCTTCGATGAAATTTTTGGATTTCATACTGGTTTTTTGCAGAGTAAAAAAAAAAAAAAAAATCGCTCGGCTGCTTCACCTGTAATACCCTTCAATTTATGTGGAATGTAATTTGAATAAAAACTTTAATTTAAGATGAGTTGAGTGCTGGAGTGAAGGGATGTCAAAATCTTTGTTAGTTGGTTTTAAGAATTTTTGAATATGCTCTTGCAGGGTGTCTACTAAAGCAGCCTGGCCAAAAATCAGTACTTTTAAGGTACTTTTCCAATGCATTCCCAAGAAATTCAGTACCTCCTTACCAGAAAAAATAGTGCTATTTTAGTACCTACAATTGACGAAATTCGAAAAATTTGAAAATCTCCCTTAAATCGCGACAAAAATTAAAAAAAAAAAATTCCGGACCTACATGTGGAATTTCCGCACTTTTCTAATAGTACCGGACTGTCCTTTAAAAATCAGTGCTATTTCCGCACTTTTCGAAAATTCCGGACCTGTAGACACCCCTGTCTTGATGTTCTGTGAGAAATTTTGACTGGCAAGAAAAAAATTTGTCGGTACCTCCTACATTCCCACTAATTTTGAAAGCTCTACTTTCATTTTCAGATTGTCTCTACAAGTCAAGAATATTCTTGAATTTCCTTCTTTTTTTCTTCTTGAAATTTTTTTTGGGAAGATAGTTGTTTAATAGTTCACTGTTGATGCTCCCTTGCGGACATAAGAATTTAGGCAGAAAGAAAGATATCTAGAAGGACTAAAATTGAAATGGTAACACTTGGTAGAGCCTCTCTGTATCTCATTAGCTCATATCACGCTGAACTGTAGAGTCATGAGATTTTGGCATCTTTACATGACTTTCCCACAATTGAATCAGTGAGAACGAAAACACACCATCTCGGTAACTTGAAAATGGTCACTTTTCACTAAGGACAGACAATTTTCATGAAAGTCATTGAAGTTACCGTATCTGTCCCAACTTAAACATTTAAAGTTTCCTCAAGTACTTGCTTTTAGGCACCAAAAATATTTTTCTTAGACTAACCTCTTCACCTAATATGCAGTTTGGTGTGTGTCTTGATCATTTTCATTTTTTCGAGTTGGTGTGTTTTCGTTCTCACTGATTCAATTATGGGGCTAAAATTGCATTAAAGCAAATACTGTGCAGGCAGTCGGCATTGTGAACCTGTTATTAATTTTGTGCTTTTTCTAGGTTCGAGGGACCTGTTTACTCAGGAGTTTTTCATACTGGACAAGGAAAGACCTCACACCTGCCGCATCTGTGGTGCTAGTTACAAGAACTACCGCCATCTTCAAGACCACAGAAAGTGTCACACTGGAGAAACTTTCTGCCGTGTCTGCAAGAAGAATTTCTCCAACAAGGCCAATTTTCGCATGCATGTGCTCATGGTTCATAAAACAAATGTTTGATGAAATTTTATGAGTGTTTTCAAGCTGTTTAGTATTTGCTTTCCCATGCAAACTAGAATAACACACAGAGGAATTACGGAAGATGGGGTTTTATATGGGAATATGAATCAGTATTAAAATCGGGTACGGCAGCACTTCAAAAAAATCTACTAGAGAATTCTTAAAACCAATATATTCACAAAGTTTCATACAGATTTCGTCCACAGTTGTTTCTGATTCTGGCCTCTCCAATTTGAAACAAATGCCAATTCCGTGGACAATTTCTCTATGGTTGAGAGAAAAATGCAAGTGTAATGTACTTTACTCCCCTCTGTGATGCGAAAAATGAGAGGCAATTGAACAGGTATTTTTCTTGGGGGCCCTAGCATCAAAATTCAAGTTTCGAGGAAAATGGAAAAAAGAGTGTTATTCAGCATGCATTCTATCTTTTGAGCTTAGGTTTAATTGGTATTTTTAGGCTCAAAAGATTGAGGGCACACTGAATGGCACAATTTTTTCAATTTTCTCTAAACTTTGATTTTGGCACTTGGGCCCTTAGGAAAAATATTGGTTCAATTTTGTGGAGGGCCCCTCAATATTTCAAAATAAAGAGAGTAATTCCTGTTGCAATATGAAGTATTGAAAGTAAATATAACTTTCCCCCTATTAACAGAAAAAAAGACAACTCAATCCCTCTCCGATTTGACGCTGATTGATTGCACTTGGTATATGTATAAATATTTTTAAGCTTTGTTAGATTGTCAACAAGTAAACAAATTCGAGTTTTCTGAAAATTTTTAATTACATATATTTTTGGTACAATTTTCGGATTCATAATTGGAATAAATAATTTGTTATATTTTTTTTATAAAAATAAAATAATTTGTCTTCAAGTTTTGGATTTTAATTCATTGAAATTCGTTATGTAGGTACTTTAATCGAAATTTTTTTTTTATTGTTTTAAAATTTTTTTCCAATTAAGAACCTTCATAATTTGAACAAATTTCTCGAGAAATACCCCGAGTTGTGGAGAGACGAACATATTTACTCTTAATTTTATTTTTATTTAATACTTGTCATTCAGCCCTTATGCTGTAAATAAAGAAATAAAAACTATTCCAAGGGAAAACTTACTTGAAATCATCAATGTTGGGTAGAATACAATCTTGTGTTACACGGACAATTTTCTTACTGCCCATGGTGCCAGAGGTTTGCATGGCATAAACAAAGGGAACCGTCTGACTATCATTTACGATGCATTTTTCTCCGTTCCATTTGCACAGAAGAACATTTTTGCAAAAAATAGTGAACTTGCGAATAACTTGAAAACGGCAGTCTGAATGGTCCTCTAAATCCTCAAGAAGCTCCATAAAAGTATACTGCACTCCCAGTTTATTGCAACAGCCGTTACTTGAAAATGATGCAGAAATTTCAGACTGTGGAATGAAAACGAATGCTGACTCATTCTTCAGAACCCTGTAAAGTCATAATAAAATTCAAGTCCCAGAAAACAAAGTGGAAAAATTTATTTTGAAAAAGAGATCGAAATGACAATGATGATAATGAATGATTGAGGAACTTTTAGAGATCAATGGTCCAAGAATTAGGGGAGTCATAGGCAGATGTAATGGCAACTTCATTTTTGAAGTTTCAAAAATAGTTGATAAAAGTGGTCCTACCCAAACCTAAGGGCTCTTCCTGTATTGTTCTTTATGCCACGCTTTAGAATGGTAAAATTCAAAGCTGATGCATTGAAAGGTACGGCCACTAAATCAGTCAGTTGAAAATATAGGAACCTAATTAGTCAAGCTTACTGGAATGAAGAAAAACTTAAATGTATTCGGTACCTCCTTTATTGAGAGGATACGATATTGCAAAGGGGACCAAATCTATTTAAACTCTGCCTGGATAATTTGTTTGATATAATAACTAATTTTGTAAGAGTTTTTTAAAACTCGAACCTCACTTTTTGCATTTATTTTCCCAAATAACTTTCCAAGACCTCAAAGTATCCTCATTAGGCAGATACCTGACAATCAGTGATCTCATTGGGTCCTTTCAATGGAGCTCTGATACTAACAAATTTTATGGAGAAAAAGTACATTATTTCTTCTTTTTTCATTTGTCCTCTTAATATAAATTTACCAATAACTGCTTTTTGTCTTGAAAATCTGAATATTATTATGTGAATTGCAACTTATGCAGACACATTTTGTTCAAAATCACTAGTTATTCTATTTTTTCAACAATATTACATCTCCTTCATTCACCACATGCTTCCATTGAAAAAGCAATAGATACTATGATGATACATACCCCAATGACAACGCGATATGAATCGCATCCTGATCTGAGAATGCAATAGCGATAAATTTTGTTGTTTTGGTTTGATCGCAGTCAAAGCAGTGTTCCAAAAATTGACCAACAATTGAAGAGGCTTCAAGTAAATCCTCATAGGTCCAAAGAGTCGTTCTTCTTCCATCAAAACAAATGAGAGCATCGCGTTTTGGGAACTCAAGAGAAATATTTTTAAAACGGTGGAATAACTCTGAAAATCAAACAGAAAGAGAGAAGAAAAAGTTGTGGTTAGAAAAAATTCTACAAATGTTTAAATTCACTTGCATGTTGTTTTTTAAAGGGACTATGTTTTGCTGGCTTAAGCCAGCAAAATATAATTCTTGGAGTAACATTAATGTTACTCCAAGAATGCTGGAGCTAGAGGCGGTGAAACACAAACCCAACGTAAAAAATTTCTTTTAAACTTTTGTACAGCTTCCTATTAAAGTATTAGATGCACTGATTACTTTTTCAAAGAGATTTCCCATCTTCTCCCTGAGGTGAAAGCAACGTGAGGTTATTATTATTAAACAGTTTAGTCCATAGAAACTACCACAAAGCAACTGTTGAAATTTCCATTCAATTCAATTCAATTTATTTAATTCTTTCAGTTTAAAATGTACAAAAATAGTTACGATCAACTTAACTCATCCGTGAGTTTAACTCGTATGGATGAGTCAGTTTTACATATTTAATTTAAATTTAAATTTGTATTCTATGGTAAATACAATAAAGAAATTTGTATAAAAATAGGTTACATTTGCTTTTTTCTTTTTAATTTATCTGGGTTAAATTTAAAAGTTGGCTAGGCCCTCGTTCTGATTTCCTTTGCTTTCACCTACCAGCTTAAAATTTGTATTACAGAAATGAGTTGGATACAAAAATTAGTTAGATACAATTGGATTGCACTTTGCAAAAAGGAACCAAGAGAATTCTATTGTTGCCAGGATTGTGCAACTTACATTCTTCGCTAAAAATAGAAATAAGTTGCAAAAATCTAGCAACACTGAAACGCTCTTAGCTCCCCCCTGCAAAGTGCAATCCAATTGTTCTTGAAAATACAATGAATTATTTACTAATTGTGAGTTTACTCTAGGATTGATTTGGTTAATTAAGTAGTGCACTTAACTTTATTCCCAACGTTTCGCTTAGAGACTTCTAATCTGGGTTGTTCAACTCTTACTTGGCTAAAATTTTTAAAATTATATTTTACTTCTTTTTGTGGGAGTGGCTCTGTTTGGAATTGTGGTGTTAGTCTTTTCAGTTCTCTTTTGCACAGCTCGTCAAAACCTTTCACATTCATTAGGTCGCATAATTCAGCGGACGGATAAGTCTGGGATAGGTTTAATATAGTCTTTATAGCCCTTCTTTCAAGTCTTAAGATTGGCTTAAGGATGTTGCTACTGGGATCCCCATAGACCACTATGCCATAATTGAGAACTGATTGAGAATTAAAATACCTGCTAGAGTCCATGCCAAATAAGTTAATGCGCTTCTAGACTGCAACAGAAGAGTGTCTGATGTCACTTTAACATGTGAAGTAAATATATGAAGCAAAGTTGCGGATCTTCTGTCGCTAAAAGTTGATTGCCTTATTTGGCATGGACTCCATATTTTAATGAAATTTCATCACTTCCAAGTGCAGAAGTGCACATCTCGGAAAACACGATTTACCATGAGAGTAAAAAAAACTGTCTACATTCCTCTTTATTGTTAGCCTGAGATACGCTAAAAGAGCTCTGCGGTTTTAGGTGACTTCCCGAATTTTTTTCTATTATAGTCTCTTGCTGGCAGATAGATGACATCTTCAACAACATGTTTGAAACTCAAAACTGTCAAAAATTGAGATACTCACTTCTGCACTTTTACCATCGGTATGAATATTGAGTGATATTGAGCGCAGTTCCTGCCAAAAAACTTCATCCACTTCCAGAGTGTGATCGGAGATCAGCCATTCTGATTCTTGTATTTATCTTCAATATTAAATTGAAGAAAGCTGATCTTCTGTCACACTCTTAAAAAGCGCATAAACTTATTTACTGTGGACTGAAACCGCTCTTGGGAAAAGGGGTATGTATATTGTATACAACAAGGAAATCAAGTGTCTAAACTGAAAGGTAAAGGATAAAAGTATTGGATCTTCTCTTACCCATTTGACTTTAGCACTGGGAAAAACATGTCATTTTCAGTAAAATTAAAAGAGTTTCTTCATGAACGTCAGAGACAACACGAGACACAGAGTGTGACATTTTTGAGGTTATGTTATTGTTAAATACAATTGTTTTTAACCTCAAAAAGGATTCACGTCTGTCAATCTCTGTTTACATTGCTTATCAGTGTACTTATTCGCAGAGTTTTAGTCCCTAGTCATCAGTTACTCTTACTTGTCAGCTTTTCAAGTTCAACCCTTGCTTGGTTTTGATCGTGATACTGGTCGAAGTTTTAAGACTCTTTTTTTAAGTGATAAGTAATCAGTATGCCACTGAATCGGGAGTTTGTTGTCATGTTCTGATTTCTACCTTTTCCTTGACTTTGTGCTCATAGTTTTAGAGCTCTCGATATCGCGGAAGTGCGCTCCGGGATTCGTAATCGCGTCTCGTGACTTTCTAGCTTTACTTTTACTCGACTACGTCGTATTTGTCTAGTTTTTGTGAAACACGTGCGCCATCCAACCTAACCTCCCCTCCATACCATTACTAGTGTTCCTTTGAGGAAGCCGGGTCATCATGGATCGAAAGTGACTATCTCTGTATCTTTCGCCGAAAATCTACGGATGACACGTTCTCAACCCAACCAACTAATCAATTTTCTCACTTGCAATCATAGTGTATTTGCTCATCAATGCGTAAAGTGCAAAACCCGCGACATCTCTCAAATCAAATGCCGGCACGGTACTAAACGATTAGATTGCCCTTCTTGCAAATCTCTACTGATCTCAGATAATATGTCACCTCCTAAACAACCTAAGGGAAACAACAGCTCCTCAGCCCCAACCGGTGAGACCAATCCAAACCCAGCCCCAACCGGTGAGACAAATCCAAACCCAGCCCCAACCGGTAAGACAAATCCAAATACTATCCCAACTGATAACTCAGGTTGGCAACAGCCAAAGAAACCAGCCTCCCTACCCAAAAATGTAATCACACCAGGTGCAGTGATCACCCAAAACCAATTCCAAACCTTCACTAAAGAAACAGATACCGAGTTCCACATGGTAAAACCGAGACCCCTGTTCCTTAGCGATACATCGGATATTCAAAAATTTTCTCGCTGGATCTCCACAGATCTCCAAATAAAAGACTTTTCTGTCAAATTGTCTGGAAGCATGCTTAAACTTCAACTCGACACAGTTGAAAACTTCCAAAAAGTCCAAAAAGCCCTTAAGGCCAAAGAAGCAGAATTCTTTTACTTCCAACTGCCGGAAGAGAAACCATTTAAAATTGTCATTAAGGGCATTCACACCTCAACCTCACTCGAGGAAATCCAGACAGAAATCGAAGCAAAAGGCTTCAAAGTTTTAAGAACTAATAGAGCCCAAAAACAGGTTCTCACCCCGGTTCAGGGGCAACCCAATACTTTTAATAAACACCTAGAACCAATCCCTATTGTCTTCGTAGACGTTGAAAAACAAGACAACTGCAAAGAACTTTTTAATATTATAGGACTTTGCCATCAGGTAGTTAAAATAGAAAGCCCTAAAAAATCAGCATGGCAACCACAATGTCGACGATGCCAACGTTATGGCCACGTCCAGAGCCGATGCTCAATGCCTTTTAGATGTGTTAAATGCTTGGGGCAGCACAAAACTGCCGAATGCGACAAAAAAACCTCAGCTGCCAAATGCATCCTGTGCACTGGGGATCACCCGGCCAATTACAAAGGCTGCCCCCAAGCCAAGAAAGTCACCTCAACAGCAAACCTCTCGCGAGGTCCAGTACCCCAAGACCATGATTATACCATCCCTCAACCCACGCAACCACCCCCCTTAACCAACCCTCAACCTACTCCTCCTTGGTCAGGCAACCCTACGTCTAAACACCGGGATAACCAAAACCAAAACAAAAGAACTTACGCCGAAGCCACTACCTCAACAATACCACCCGACCCAAACCAACTTACAGCCATTATAACTCTGCTTACCGAACAAAACAAACAACTAATGGAACAAAATTGCTTACTGCAGAAACAACTAGCAGAACAGGGAAAACAACTCTCTAAAGTACTCCAACAACTCACTGCTCTTGTACCAACTCCTAGCAAATCTCCATGAACTTCAATTTTGCTAGAATTGGCCTGCTAAATGTCAATGGGATCATTGAAAACAAATCTACCATTGAAGACTACCTCACTATTCACTCACTCGACATATTACTCTTAACTGAAACTCACCTCTTTTCTCAAGAAACCATAAAAATCAGAGGGTACAGCTTCTACAGTACCCCTTTTCCAGATGGGGACATTCGTCGAGGAGGAGCAGGGATCCTTATATCGTCAGATCTAAAGCATCACCTGCTGCCCTCATTTGTATCTCCTGCAATCCAGTGCTGCTCAATTTCAGTCTTGTTAGACAACAGGGAAACCAGAATATCCTCAATCTATGTCTCACCCAATCCTGAATTTTATCATATGACCAACCACGAACACTTCACAGACCTTGTTCAGTTCCTAGGCCCCTCCTTCCTTGCAGGAGGAGACTTCAACTCCAAACATCCAAGCTGGGGCTCTCGCACTTTCAATCGCAGAGGCCGAATCCTTCGATCTGTGCTAACGCAGTTGTCTGTCTCCACGCTTTCTGGGAGGGAGCCGACCTATTGGCCCGTACATTTAAATCGTTCACCAGATCTGATAGATTTTTTCCTGTGTAAGCAACTGAGCCCACACTATACTCTCATCGAGGATACCCGAGAGCAAACCTCTGACCATTCCCTGGTAATTCTCAATCTTTCTAAATCTTTTGTCTTCAAGCAAAAAAAACACTGTCTCCATAACAAGAGCACTAACTGGGACATATTCCGCTATGAATTTGACCAAAAAATCAAATTGCGCACCCTGCCCACAACTGAGGACATTGACAATCAAATTTCCCACCTTGAAGAAACAGTGAAGTACGCTCTGAATGAAGCAACCGCCCAACCAATAGTAGTAAAATCCCCCATCAACGTACCACTACAAATTAGAGACTTGATTAAGCAGAGGAGAGTTTTGAGAGGATTGTGGCGACGCCAGAGGACGCCAGCTCTAAAAAACCAACTTAATTCCCTCACGACACGCATAAAGAAGGAACAGGCCAAGTATAGAAAGAATACTTTCGATGAATTTATCGAAAAATTGACCCCTTTCGCAGACTCAGACTACTCCCTCTATAAAATTAGCAAATCACTCTCACGCCCCCGCCGCCCTTTGCCCCCCCTACTAGACAACACAGGAGATTGGGTCTCTTCTCCCGAGAAAAAATCTCAGATTTTCGCTTCCCACTTTCAAAAAGTCTTCACTCCAGTCAACAACGAACCCCCTCCCCAATTTATATCCACCTTCCTAGAATCTCCCCTACCATTAGACTTCCCTATCAAACGCATATCTCCATCAGAAATTCGTTCCACAGCCGCATCCCTACCCAACCACAAAGCCCCAGGACATGACCAAATTACGAACCTTACATTGAAACAATTTTCACAGAAAGGCCTAGCCGCCCTGTCGACATTATTCAATTCAATGATTTCACTTAATTATTTCCCAACAGCCTGGAAGTTCGCTATTCTTCTCCCATTCCACAAACCTGATAAACCTCTACATAATCCATCCTCATATAGGCCCATTAGTCTGCTCTCTGTTTTTGGTAAATTATTTGAAAGGCTGTTGCTAAAAAGACTGCTCCTTGATTGCCCGCAATTAGCATTACCTTCCCACCAATTCGGGTTCCGAAAAGGACATTCCTCAATCGATCAAATCCATAGAGTAGTCGACTATATAACCAGGTCTCTTGAAGAGGGCAAATACTGTGGAGCCATTTTCCTGGATGTTCAAAGTGCGTTCGATAAGGTTTACCACCCTGGACTCCTATACAAAATTAAAACGCTTGTCCCTCAATATTATCTGTTACTGAAATCATACCTTGCTGACCGCTCTTTCGCAGTGAGCATAGAAAACGCCCTTTCAGATGCTAGAGAAATTTCAGCAGGAGTCCCACAGGGAAGTATCTTGGGACCTTTCCTGTATCTCCTGTTTACCTACGATCTGCCCACCTCTCCTACCGTCTTTACTGGAACTTTTGCTGATGACACAGCTTATCTATCCTCTCATAATAGCCCTGAAACGGTATCTGATGAGTTACAGAATATTCTTTTCGAACTTCAAGACTGGAGCCTTATTTGGAGAATTTCCTTTAATGCCACCAAATCATCTATGCTCAACTTCACGCTCCGCAAGCTTCCCCTCCCCCCTGTATTCCTTCACGGAGTCCAGATTCCAATCAAAGACTCTGCAAGATACCTAGGCGTCCATCTCGACTCAAAATTGACCTGGAAAAGCCACTTAATTGCCAAGCGAAAACAGCTCGATGCCCTATTTCATAAGTACTCCTGGCTCCTCCGAAGCCCCCTCCCTCTCTCCTCTAAGCTCCTCCTGTACAAAACAGTCATACGACCCTGCTGGTCATATGGCTCTCAAATCTGGTGCACTACCGCCCCATCCAATCTACAACCTCTTCAAACAGCGCAGAATAAATTTCTCCGTTTAATAACTGGCTGCCACAAGTACCAACTCGTTGACGTGATCCATAGAAATGCTCGCATTCCACTAGTCAAAGACTACGTAAAAGAACTGACTTTACGCCACATTCATCGATTGGAAGGCCATCGCAGCCATTTGGCTTTGTCATTACTCGACAACAGCGAAACTCAAAGAAGACTAAAAAGACGACACATACTCGACATATTCTTTACTGCAGACACAGGAGATCCTTAAGACATTCCCCACCACTTCATAGAATTCACCACCCATCAAAGAAACAAACAATTTCCAAATCACTATCAAGCTAAACCCTAAACCACACGTCGAGAAAAGTAATTTCCCCATAAAAATAAAAATCCTCGCGGCAATAGCACCCGTTAGGAACGGAACAAAGCAACTTCACTAAAGCTGAGTAAATTCAAATCACCCGCCCGGCTGTCAGCCAACAGGGAATCCCCCCCACCACCTCACCGACCTGGAAGGTCGTCAGCGAGGCCTCCCTCGCCTCGCCAAGCTCTATGAACCCCTGCGATTGGTAGTACACTCCCGATCGCCCCCACGCTATCACAACGCTACAACGGTCGCCGATTGGCCAAAAGCCAGATTGCACCATACTCAAACCAACAACAACCTCAAAAAGATATGTGACAGCCGACAGCCTGCACACTTTGCAGTCAAAGCAGTGGATTGGATTTGCGTAGTGCGTAAGGAATTTGCATTTATTGTTCAAGAAACTACTTGACCTCGTTAATAATGTACCAATTGTGTACTTAACTCAAATAATTTTCCTTAAATACGCGGTCGTGATATTATTGTCCAGTCGAAAGTGGAACATGCGGTTCTCCAAAGTTTTCCTCAGTGAAAGTACCGATGCATCATTAGGTGTAATTTCAGGAATCAAACGATTCCCGGGCAGGGAAATCTGCACACCCGTTGCATTTACTTACACCAAGGTTTGTGAAATTATTTGAAAGCATTCTGCTCCCAGCTCAAAAAAGAAAAAAATGATCAGACACAATAAAGTTCACTCAATGTTATGTAATGTAAGAAGTTAGTCAGTAAGTGTGTGTCAGTAAGTCAAGTAATCCTAGAAGCATGCGTTTCTCAGCATGCAGAGCTCATCTACTGTAAGTGATAAATGTCTTTCTTATTGAAAGCATTGAAAGAACATCTCTTATGCAGAGCTGTCGTAACAATATTGGGTTACCGTTGAATCAGAACAATCCCATGCAGGCATCCATTGGTCTGGTTTCATGGAGGTTCATCCTCTCTCACATTCTGCACACGGCATTGTTTCCATACTTAATGCGGTTATAGGGGTTTAGCTGTCATGATGAGGTGTTGGAATAAGCTTTATCGCTTAATTCAAAGGACAAATTATAATCATGATCAGTCACCAATTTGTTTCCGTGGCATCAGTGTTCGAAACTCACCTTGGAGTTTCAGGAGCCATGTGGCGCATCAAGCTCGATTTTTTAGGGGCCAAATTGACTTTTTGCCTATGTATTACAGCCCATTTGGTGACAAGATAGACGCAAGATGTTTTAGTTACGGAACTAGTAGCTGTTACTTGGGGGAAATTTCGGCAAGTCACTAAACAGAAAAACTATGATTTTTTTTGGAGAGGGGGGGGGGATTTTTAGAGGCCATGATGGTGCAGAGCCTTCATTTTTTAGGCGCCATGACTGATTTCTTAGGTGCATTTGGCGCGTTGGTGCCTGTGAGTTTTGAACACTGCATGGCATACTAAGTTCGATTAGTTTGTTTGTAAAATGGAGTACAGATCCTAGCTGAATGGTGCTAGGTGCCACACTTGGCCAGAAGTTTCTCCCATTGCATACTCCATGCATACCTCCTCCATCCTGACTTCACTGATCCTATGGTCATGAAGAAATCAGGATAATGGAGAGGCTTTATTCAGGAAGCAGTGATCTTTCAAATTAAGGAAAACCACCACCACATGGATAGAACCAACAGGAATTTTTATGAATTTTTGTGACACTAGATTGAGCCGAAACTGTTGACCCCATCCCATTGAAATAAATCATCTAATTAAAATGGTTCCAAGGAGATAGGGCCACCTTGCTGTCTAAGACATGTAGTGAAATAGCGGAAGCAAGGGTATAAACGGCAACGCTGCCAAACACATTTTTGTGATCTTGTTCCTTCGTTGGATTCCTCTGGTACGGGCATGTGGAGCCAAACTGATATCGGTGGTAGGTAAAGACCCTGAAGGTATCCTTTGTCTGATAGCTGAAGGAAGGTTTGATATTGAAGGTAATTGGGTATTGTAGGGCACCCTAGTGAGCTGATTCAGCAGCTTGTATGTACTTATATTGAGAGTTGACATAATATTGTATCTTTTTTAGGGTGGCTCAGTTCCTCATTTAACTCGAGAAGTACTGGAGATGGCATTTGATGCCTCAATGCCGGTCGTCATGCCAGCAGAGAACATTGCCTTTGCCTATGAGGCTGTCAAAGTGTTCCAGAATGGAATGACTTCTTTCTCTGGTTTATCGGTAAGTCATCCTCTTCAGATCTGAATTCGATTATCTAAAGAAGTGTGAGCACATGCCTTAAACATGTTCGAAGGAGTTTAAATGCTCAATAAGCCAAAATACCAAATAAGCTCATGATAGGGATATTTATATTGCAGCAAGTATTAGTATTTTAAAAAGTCAGGGAATTTTAAACAATAGCACTTAGCAGAAATTAGCATGATTGAATGGGGGAAAAAACCAAGTGGAAATTTTGTTCCTAGGTCAAGGCAAGTTAAAAATTTTGGAGTCATGGAAGAGCAAAAAAAGGAAAAAAATTATAGAAACCCTGGAAGTGGATTCCATTTGTCCAAACTCTTTCAACTGTGGGATGCATGGTAAGGATGCTAAGGCTTTCAACTAAGTAAGATACTTTATTGAGGTCAAATAACAATTAAAATGAGCGATTAATATGAAAAAGTAAATATTTAAGTAATGAGGTTCTTCAAAGGGGTAGCTCAAAATCCTGGAAAATTGAATTTTCTGGCTATAACAGGAAGACTGGTTTGGTCAACTGGTTTTTAACTGGTTTGGTCAGTAATTTTGCAATAGACGGCTGCCATCTATACTATAAGCTCCAAGACCTCGTAATTTTGCGAAACTGGTAACGCTTAGTTCCAGCGTTCTACCGGGCCGATTTTCATGATTTTTGCGGCTATCGACGGGCAATTGCCTCTAGATAAGCCAACTCTTTTCAGATTTTCAAAATATGGCCCAGGTTTTTTTATATTACGTGGTAAAGTTGCAAATTCTCCCATTTAAACAATGTAAACTTATACTTTTTGTCATAGTTCGTTTGAGCGTTCTACCGGGCCGATTTCCATGATTTTTGCGTAAATCGACAGGTAATAGGCCCTAGATGAGCCCGCTGCAATCAGATTTTGGAAAAAGGACCCAGGTTTTTTTAAAATCACGTTATAAAAGTGAGTGAGTTTACAGAATGCTCCGGTACTGCTACCGCTATGCGCGGGAGGATGCGCAATGGTCGAGGAGGTTGCGCAGTAGCTGGGTAGCCTGTGCATCAGCTTTACACTTATCTACACAAGATTCGCGCCTGAAACCTTAAGTCGAGCGGTGGCCGAGTCGTCTAAAGACGTCAAATGCGTCCGCTTTGATCACAGTGTGGGTTCGATCCCCGACTAATGAAATCTTAAGTATTACCTGACTATCATTGATCATTGTTTTACTGCAATATTTTATCAAGCAGTCATTCCAAAACGCGTCCTTTTAATTTTAAAGTAATTTTAAGTAAAGTTTAAAATTAAAGTATACCTCATATCGTATTTTTTTAGGGGAAAAATAAAACTAACACTGATAGGAGGGTAAAAATAGGGCCGCGAAGCGGCCCATTGATGGCGCGGAGCGCCTTCAGGGGGTTGGGCCGCGTAGCGGCCAGGGGGCGTAGCCCCCTAGTTTTTCTATAAGAATATTTTCTTGTATCACAGATCATACAGTTATTGGATTTTATGGTGATACTTCATTTTTCCAGGAAAGCATCTTTTGGTGCAGTCAATTTGACCATGCAGTAAACTCGCCCAAGTCACTGAATCAGAAGGACAAAGTTGCTCTTTGGACACGTTTTGGGAAAAAACTCATAGATGCCGACTCGTAAGTTGAACTCAAGGCTCTATACGTACATAATTGAATAATTTTTGCCATTCAGTCGTTTTATTTTTCATCTAATCTCCTGTGGTGCCTGGTAGCATGCTGATGCTTGGGAGCCAACCAAATCTTATACTTTACTATTAAAAATGATCATGTGCCTATCACCTCAGAATTTTTTTATTTTTTTAAATTTTTCTTTTTGTGTGTGTGATAAAATTACTCTCTGTTATCTGTAGTGAATCAGAATATTTACCCAGGTTTAATCCAAGTAAAAACCTGGCTGTGTAATAGCAGTTTTTAAAAAATAGTCTTTTTGTTTTCTATTGCTCAATACATTTCATTTTCATTTTTTAACTTTTGCACTGTTGTAGGTACATGGATATGATGGAAGCTTTCAAACCAGACTTGTTCACAGTTCTTTCCAATAATGATACCAACAAAACTAGTAGCAATAAGCAAACTCGTAAATCAGTTGATCAGTCCATCAGTTTGCTTCAAAAATGTGTGGAACGGCATAAAAACTCCTCGGTAAGTGTGATACTTCCTCTCGGTGGTCATTATGTCTTAAATTTACAAGATGGTTAAAAGCATTTTTCAGTTTAGAGGATGATGAGAGTTTAACATGCCAATAAAAAGAGAAGAAAAAAAAAGGAATCAATTCAGAAATTGAGGCACTGGATGCGAAAAGGGCACTTCTCGATTGCAGTGTTTCAGAATCTCTGTTGCTAATTAGTCCCTTGGAGAAGAATTTAATGGGTGATTTTGCCAGAATTCTTTCCATCGAAAATTGTAGGACCATAAGGAATATTCTGTGAAATTGTCAGTGAAATGGATGCATTCATTTTCCTTACAATGAATGAAATACTAGAGGAGACTCTAAAAAACTGCAACCGAGAAGTGCCCTTTTCGCATCCAGTGCCTTAATACTGGCACGGTAAGTTTTTAAAATTATTTACCAGTCGATATTATTTTCAAATGGAATTGTAGTTATCAGTGAAGTATCAACAGTAAAACTACGAAAACATATGTCTTGATTACTTTGTCTAAAGATCTTATCATTTCAAAGAGCATTACTGTACAAAATTTAGAAATGTGTGGTCTTGTAGTCTCACTATTGATGTGATCTTTTCTCCTTGTCCAAATGTTTTCATTTCTGTTTAATATTTTTTAAAAAAAAATTAGAGGAAAATCTATAGAAATGAAAAAGAAAAAAAAATTAATAGCAAGTTTTAGCTGGTATAAATACTTTAGTGACTTGAAAGTTATTTAATTGTAAATACCTATGGGAAGAGTAATGAGGTTGTCTTCTCTTAATACAAAATATTTTTTGTATCCTCTGAAGGTACCAGAGACTCTTAGCACTACCACTTCAGCTTAGGAACCTCATCGAAGAGGAATCTGTTTAAATTATTTGAATTTAATATCTTAAGAAAAGCAAAATAAAAACTATAAAAAAACTTTGTGAAAAGATGTCCCTTCTCTTTGCATTTTTTGCTCAATAAAATTTATGCAGGAAGATTGTTACTGATCTTACGTATCAAATATTTGCGATAAGTATTAGGCTCTAAATCGGCATGAAAATTTGAACAAGTCAGTCAAAATTGGCTCCCATAGGAGTCTCAAAGGATCTAGATAATCCATTCTTGAATTCATATTTTTGTAGATACATTTTTTATACAGTTTCTAATGTTTTATTTAGTTTCTTATAATGACTCAGTAGCAGGAAACAGCTTGGAAAAAAGTATTTTTGCCTCTTTTTCCAAGTAATCAGTTTTCTTGGCATTGACAAAACCTCAAAAACTGTTCTAGAAAATTGCTTGTATCATTTATGGTTTCTCATGAATTGAGTTGATGAATTTTTCATGTGTTCACAGATTTTGAAAGATACTGGGATACTTGCAGGGATTCAAGGTGGTTATAACGTTCATGATCGAACTCGATGTGCAGAAACGATGTCAAAAGCAGAAGTAGATGGATTTGTCATTGATGGACTTTTCACCAATGGTTTGGAAGTTGAAAACATAACATTTGAGGACATTGAACCTGTGATAAAAGTTACCATGGTAATCTGCCTTTCATTCAGATTGCATTTGATCTTAGCTTAACCGCTAGAATAAGGATGCTAGCATGTTCAAATGTACTGTTTAACAAAGGCATGAGTGATCTCTGAGGCACCTGGTTTCCACCTGGTTATACCTGGTTTATACCTGGTCATAATCTAACAGTCCGGAGAAATTCTTCCACTAACAGAAGTTCAGTTAACAGAAGGTTTTGGACATTAGAAGCTCAATGAGCGTACTTTTTATCAAGCAAATCCACGAAAATGCAAAAATTATTTCCTTAAGAGTTACTTTTTGTAATGAGCTGATTTTAGAGTTGCCGCCGGTTTGGAAAACCTAGAAAGTTAAAGAATTTGTGGGAAAAGTCAAGAATCTCTGACACATCTACTCATCACTAAAAACATATCACTGATCCTCCAACTGTTTACCTTTTATGGCCTTTTTAAGGCCTGTCATCTTTTAACCAGCTACTGGATGCCTGTCTCCACAATTGGATCTTCAAACAAGGAAATCATGTCCAAGTTTAGTAAAAGTCTACGGTAAAAAAAAAAAAAAAAAAAAAAAAAAAAAAAAAAAAAAAAAAAATTGCGTTAGTTTTGTTGAAAGGTCAGGATAAGTCACGGAATTAGACGATTTTGGAGTCGGAAAAAATTTAAAAATGTCAGGGAAGCTAGAAGAGGTCAGGGAATTTAAAGATGAAGAAATTATGGCAACTTTGTGGTTCCATTATTACCAAGTTTCACTTTCAAAGACTAATGCGCACATTACCTTCAACTTTTTTTTAGCTGCATCTTACTTGTAACCAATCCCTTTTATTCCATTGGAAATTCAATTATCTGCCGTATTGTCTTTGAATTTGCAATCTTTTGGGTCCAGGGGAGAATTTTCCCTATTTTGCAGCTCCATCCTGATGCTACACTACTTATTTCTTCATTCATGAAAGAAAATGGATTTTGAGGAGGAAACTCTGAACTGCTCAGTACATCTGAAGAACTGCTTGGGGCAAGAAATATAAATTTTCAGTTTTCGCTGCTGAACATTTTCCTCTTATCTTGAAAACATTGGGCGGAAATCCCAAGCCATAATTGGTGTCATAAATGATGCCATACGCATTTGAAATGAATTATTCCCAAGACAGGGTACCTGCAGCAGTAATATTTTTTCCCGGATTCCCCTTTTTTGTTCTAAAACTTGGAACTGCTATCCAAGGATCAAGTTTTTTTAATTTTTGAGCGTTCTTTGAGCCAAATGATGCAGAATTAACCCTTCTAATCAGTGATAAAATCAATCCCTCTCGTTCCATTTTAGGCAAATTGTGCCTGACGCAGTCAGTCATAACTTTGATTCAGTTACATTTATTTTCTTAATAAATCCAATTTCATTTTTAGGATCACCTACCCAAAGATAAATTAAAGGCTGTTTATGGTGCATGGAATCCTGATGTGATCTTAAAACTTGTTGACATGGGAGTTGATCTGTTTGACACCTCCCTAGCTTACCTTTCAACTGAAAAAGGCTGTGCTTTGAACTTCAAGTATCCAAAAACTACAAAAAGGTAATGTCAGCTCCAAACATCTTCCTCCATTTATAATTTTCTTGTAATCCAAATGTCGCCTTTTTAAATATAGAATAGAGGAAGTTAATATATATCTTGTACTTTAGGGAGACGGCTACAGCGCTGTGTGAGAGACTCTCAGTAAGAAACTCATTCATACCATTGGGTGGAGAGAAACTATCAAATTTATCGACCATATCAATCTGGCGATAATCATTTAGTTGCTTGGATAATGTGCTGTTGCCAAAATGGGGATCAGTGTGTTATAAAAAGAATTCTCAATGGGTGGCAGCATTGAGATGCTCAGGTAGTGCATTGTTGCCAAAATAGTGATTGGTGTGCTTGCTTCGCTCGCAATTTTACCAAAGGAATCTCTAATCGGTGACAATTTTTACTGCTGCTAAGTTACACCGTCGTAGCAGTATACGCTCAGCTGTTGGATTAAATCCAATTATTGAATCTTATCTTTAGATCATCAAAATCAAAACTGAATGCATCGTTTCTGCAATCGCCGAGCGTCTCAAACTCGAAATCGGTTGACATTATGCAACCGCAGCACTTCAGTTTAGCGTTCGTGAAATTTGGTCTTTCCTACGGCAGTCTTTCTTTTTAGCCAGCATTTAACCCATGCTACAAAGCACAATCATAAAGCACAAGCCTAAGCACTGAATCTTTTTGAACTTTGTGCCCGTGAACTCATATCATGATTCTGTTGTTTTAAAAACTAATGAAACATTGTTTCAATAAGCAGGCAGAAGATATGGAATTAAAGTGTCATTTCACAAAGAATACCAGCTTTCTATTCGGTTTTGATAAACCAAGACTGACTAGATTGTATATGAAGTAAAGGTGATCTAACTGCATTGAAATCTCTTATGATCCTCTTTCTTTCTTTTATTTTTCCAAGAAAACTCTTTTAACATATTATCAAATCTAAATACAGCATTATCGTTTAACTTTTGGGGTAAAGAAAAACAGAAAATTGAATGAGTTTCTGAAGTGTTGCATTTTTGTCAGATCATTTTTACCGTATGATGTTTTTAATGACCCTTCAAATCTGTTTTTCAGGTCTTCAGAGGTCCTTGAAACGGTACCAACAAAGAAAAGCGCCTCTTCTGAGTGCAATCTTCTAACAAATGGTGTTGCAACGATAGATAAACCAGATGATGATCTCCTAGTCAATGGTAACTGGTGCGTCATCAATACAATGCCAGGGGGACAGCCAGTCTTCAGTGATAGAATAGTAAACAGTGTTTCTTCTGAAGATACCAATGTTCAAAACGAGAAGGAAACTAGAAAAAACACCAACAAAACTGATGAGCTAAACCATAAATCAAAGTTACCTAAACTAAATACTCCGCCTGATCCTCCTAAAAAGAAGGCAACCCCTGCAGAGGTGGAAGAAAAGTCGGCTGCCAAATATTCATCCTTCGAATTTTCTCTTCGAGATCCAAGGTCAGTATTAAAACCATTATCAATTTACAAATTTCAGCAGAGAATCGAACATTGCTATATTATACTTACTTGAATACTTACAATAAAAATACAGCATTACAGCAAAACATGTGGTTAAAAAGAAGTACAAAAAAGTGGGCAGCCTTGGCTAAAATACAAGTGGTTCAAAAAACCTGGACATCATGGGGTCCTGACAACCCTATTCTAATATGAAAAAAGGAACCAAAGCTAAAAATGTACAAAGGTGTCACATATCACAGTCCACAGTAAACTAAATGAACAAAAATTATAGCATCAAGGTCAAAAGAGAAGTCTGAACACTGCCATAACAATTGTAAGATCATTAGAATGCTATCAAATTTTTGACTTTTCAATTTTGAGGAACAACATGAATATTTTGCTTTGAAAATTATAAGCACATTAGATTTAGAATAAAGTGCTATTAAAAGTTCACTGGTATCTTGCAAACTTTACATTTTATTGTGAGAGATCTTGCAACGTCTGAATGTTCACATAGTGTTAAAGTTTTCTTGTTTTTGCTTCTCTCTTTTTTTTTGTTTGCTCTGTTCATACTGTGTTCTACCTTTGTGCGGCAGAAAACAAGGTGAGCTTTCACTGAGAAATTTAAGAAACTACGAAGCATGTCAAAAGTCTGTAGAGCTGGGAGCCCCTTAAAACAAATTTCAGAGTGTCTACTGGTCCCCAAAAGTCCCCTATGTCCCCGATTATCCCCGTTTTTGGAAGGGTGTCCCCGATATCCCTGAAAGTTCTCCGCCGTGTGGATCTTCCCCATACTTAACGTTGCCCATGTTGTCACAGAATGACCAAGTAGGCAACAGCAGCATAGAGACTGGCAGAGTGTGCTGATCTCATAAGTCGAGCACCTGGGAACACCGCTTAGAATATTTTGTGGAATAAGTGCAGAGGTTGAAAAATGGGCTTTCATTAGAACTGAAAAATTTTGTAATTCTTTTCATTATGAGAGCAAAAGTTCCCCAGGGCTTATAATACCTCTGCAGTTTGCTTCACTGCTTCAAATCCGTCAAGTTGCTCATTAAAATCAAACACATTCAAGTAAAATATTTGCGAAAATCAATATTTTATGGCAGAAAAAAAGTAGTCTTCACTGAAAAAGATGCCCAAGAATTTCTTTGATTTCTCATGCATCTTTTCTCCTAAAAAAAATTCTGCGCTTGATAATGGTTGTGTATAAAGTCATTTTCAGGGTTTCTGACAATCTGGGATACCTGGAAAATCAGGGAATTCACAGCAACCTAAAAAAAAAAAAAAATTAAGGGAATTCAAGGGGGAAATCAGAGAATATTGCGAGAAGCCCGTTAGCTCAGCAACTTGAGTCACCCAGCCAACTTCAGCAACTTCATTCAAGAGAGCGTGAACAACTTCAAAATGCCTTTCTCCTTAATTTGAATCTATAGAAGTAGAGATTTGGTTACTAGTTTAGCAAAAACAGTGTAATTTAAAAAAAAATCTACGTGGAGGTTTTGATCAAAAGTCAGGAATAGTCAGGAAGAAATCAGGATATTCCGAAATTTTGAAGTCAGGAAAAAGCCATAAAAACTCAAAGAATGAGAAAATGAAATTATGAGAACCCTGCAACTGGTCCAATCATCTTTCAATCCACAAGTTGAACCATCTCTTAATAGACCCGCCAAACCATCTGTTTTCTGACCAGCCAAATTGTCTGTTGATCAGATCACCCATCAGAATCCTCTGTCATTCAACCAATCAATTAGTATATTTATTGACCAGGTCAATTAAACAGCCAAATCGTCCAATGAAAGTGAAAATTACATAAAGTAAAACAGTCTTGATCACCTTAAACTTTAAATGCTTACAACTCCATCTGTGTACTTCAAATATTTACTCATATATTTTTTCCCCCAAACATAGTTATTAATTTATTCTTGTTTTCTTTTTCAGTGTTAGAGAAGAGTTCATTCCTCTTGATCCCGACTGTCTGTGCCTGACATGTAAAAAGCACACCCGTGCTTACATACACCACCTATTAAAAACCAAGGAGTTATTAGCTCCTGTCCTTTTAATGATGTAAGTCATCCATGGTCCACTTTTCTTTTTAATTGCTTTTTTTTTCTTCTTTCTTTTTCAAAACAGGTGATTCCTAGAACATAGGTGAAGTCTGTAAAAATGTTTGGGTCATATTAACTCTTCGACTCGTATAGTGTTCAGTTGAGCAGTATTGTTGAACTTCACAGGCTGAGATTTTTAGGCCTAGTCCACACGAGCACAGTTCGCGGAACCTCGGGCAAACTTGTCACAGGAACTTACTATAACTCAGGTATAACTTATTCCCCTAAACCCCAGTCAAAACTAACTCACCCAAACTGCGCTCATGTGGACAAGGCTGCTGGGAAAAAATTATTTAGGAATAAGCATCTCTGTGACGATATGGAAGTCTGTCATTTCTCTCTGTATTTCAAACATTGGCATTGCTCAAAATTTTTCATCGGGGAGGTAGGATGCCAAAGGCGAAAATGAAAGGGTTGTCACAATCAAAGAATATTGGGAAAATCGGGAAATGTCAAGGAATTTAAAAAAGTCAAGGAAAACCTGGAAGTTTCAATAAAACATAATTAAATCACTTATATCTGCTCTCTAGAATGAGTTTGACGTTTCAAACAACACATTTTTAGTCTAATTCATTTTATAACTTCAAATTTAATTTTTTTTTTTTTTCTGTCAGGAAACCGGTTTTAAGCCTTTTAAAGCTTGGAAATGCACCCCTCTCTCTAATTTATTGCAGAAACGCATACTTTAAAGGCAACCCCTGGATCTTGCCACAGCCTTATTCTTGAATATCAACCAAAACTCATCCTGGGGATATTTCAGGTTATGGTGGAAGGAGATGGTCCTGGTCCCTCCCCCCTCGCTTCCACCGGCATCTCTGACCTTCATATATAGACTGTTTTTTTTGTTAATTTTGCTCTGTTTTTTTCTTTAAAAAAAGAAAAACTTGTACATGTCAATCTATTCAATCCCTCTATCAATCATGTCCTTTTCACTCCTTTTTTTCAGACACAATCTTCATCATTACCAAATGTTTTTTGAAAACATACGACATAATGTCAAACATTGTGGAAAAGCATTCATCTAGCCATGGAGCGTGAAAATTATTCCTGACATCCAGATAAGTTGTGTTCATATTTACCAGTATGTTTTTTTATTTCTCTTCTTATTGTTTGAGAAAAATGTTCCCATCGCTAGTTAGTACAATTGCAATTATGTAGTTCAAACACTTATTTTTCCATTAGGCGTTTTAATCTGTCTCAATTCACAGGACAGTCACTGTTTACGAACAGTGTCTGAAACAGTGTTTGAGTTTAGTATTCATTAATTTTCATTTTACATAATTCTATGTGCTGTTTCTTCCTTGAGTCTTTTTTTACTTTCTCTCGTTCAGTTTCTTTTGATTGTACTGTAATACCCCGGTATCCGCGAGGGTTAAGTTCCGCGGATACCGAATTCGCGGACATGGGGGCATTGGTCTTTTGGAAAATGAAGGGTTAGGGGACGTGTCAAATGAGAAATGCTTACATTCACCTATGGTTTGCGGAAGAAAGTTATTAGAGTTGGCTGTTTCCTTTTACGCTGTAGATCTTTTTGTATTTCAATGTATGGAAGAAGTAGACTGCTGAGGCCTTGTTGGAAATTTAGTGCCCTTTTCATGTGCGGATCGACATGATCAGATCGTTTATTCCTGGATGTAGAGGAAGCTCTAGATGTTAAGGAAGTTCCACATGATGGGGTGGTTTCTTCTATAACCTCCATATCGTCTCGTGAACGTTTCTGAGACATTTCCTTTTTAATTCCAATCTAATTTCAAAACTTGAAAATTTTGAACCGTTCAATATCACAGAAATTTTGCAAGAAAACAAATGAATTCTTTTTTTATTGGGTGAAGCGAGTCACGGAGTAGCGGATAACAGGGTAATGCCGCAAAAATTTGATTGCGGATAAGCGAATCCGCAGATGGCAGGGTCGCGGATACCAGGGTATTACAGTACCACAATTGTTGCCTTTTCAAGTGAAAATTTATCGAATTTTCCGCACCGATAAAATAATTATTTTTGATAAAAACAAGCACTTTTTCTGATAAGTCAGAATTTGATTAAAAACAGGACAGATTTAACCAAAATCTGCTTTTTTCTGACGTTTTATTTTATTATACAGAAAATTAGGCGATACTGGACATTTTTTGAGTGAATTTTTGATCTAAGGTAAATCCTCAGAAAGTTCAATGGGGTTAAGTAGTTTAGATCTCTGTTTAAAAAATTGAATATGATATTAAATCAGAGAAAATCGAAGCTATTGGTTGGCTGTTTGCGCTGTTGAAATTGACGCATTTAAATCAAATGGAACTATATCCATTCCGATGTGAGCCCTACAATCCATAAAAATACATGCCTGACAGGGTTCATGTCTTGGATACAGTTCCTTTTGATTTAAATACGTCCAATTAGGCAACAAGGAATGCAGTTAGGCTGATTGAGGATAAATTTGTTCAACTCGGGTGGATTTTTTCCGCTATAATTGTTATATTTCCATGTTTATGTAGTTGAGTCTAGTAATATCAGTTGATCATTAATGAAATAAGATCTCATTTGTAGAAAACTTCAGTCGGCCTCTTACATTGCTACAAAAATGGCAAAGAAGTGCGTCAATTTCTCTCATCTAAAACAAGAAACTCAATCATTCATTTGTAAAATTTATGGGAAATTTGGTATGTTTATGTGTATTTGCTGCAGTTGAAAATATTTTCATGTTTCGTTAAGACAAAAGCCTAACATTGTCCAATACTGCTGATAATAGTCTTCTTTTGATCGCATGTAGGCAGTATATTTTAGGAGCTTTTGCTAGTGTTGTTATGGTCACATCGGAAGTGACCAAGTCTATTAAGAAACAAGAGTAGACAACGATGCAATCCTCTTGACAACGATTCCAGTTATCTAATATCTAAATGTATTTAAAATGTACCTCCAAGTGCCTTTCATGTAATGATTTGAATTGGGGTATGAAGTGTTCAATTTTCTAGCAACAGTCATAGTATTAGTATTAGATGTAAGCCAAGGGAAAATTCCTTTTGAAGAAGTTTGTTGATCTTTCATTTTTATATACCTACTTGTAACCAATTGGTCTGTTGTTTGCAAGAGATCCAACCAACTTATTTGACTTTATATCAGTAAAATTATTCACAATCACGTTGAACATATCAGAAATGCCATACAAGATATTTATGATACCAAATAATTTATTAACAATACTTAACCTATCAACAGTACAGACTTAAAAGTAAGGTATGAGATCGAGGGGAAAATACAAAACATTGGTCATTCAGCTAGGACGTATAAAAACCTAAAGACGAAGTGCACTATTTATCTCAGAAAGGAAGAAAGTAGGAGAAGTAATGTACATTAATTTTAAAGCGGTGCTTTAGCATCAATGGCCATGAGCCCAGCTTATTCTCTGGTGCGATCAGCCGTTTTTTCCTGCTGCTTCGCTCTCCTTGCCGCTTCAGATCCTGCTTTTTCGCATATGGAGCAGTTCATTTTTTTCATTATTTTGGTAGTTTCAGCTTTGATTGAATTGACAGCATTTACAAACAAAACAGCAACTACAGGATTTAAAATAATAAAGAACAGTGGAGCCTGTTATAACGAAGCTCACAGTGCTCAGAAAAACTTTGTTATATCCGGAACTTCGTTAAAAGTGGACCCGGCGGAGAAGTGGGGAGAACTTCGCGAAAATTACATAAAAAAAAACTTACGAACAAATCAAAGTAAATTAAGTATGTATTTACTACAAAAAAATACATATGTCTATGCTCTCTTAATAAAGGAGTCTATAGACTGTTGCGCTGTTCTGGAGCGGAAACCATTTCTTACGAAGTCTTCTTCGAACTTTGAGCAAAAGATCCAGTGACCCTTCTAGACCTGTCGCAAGCGCATACTGGCGAGTCTGCTGTAAGGCTTGCAACATAGCCTTCTTGCCTTCTTGGAGATACCTTCTTGCACATCATGTCTGAAAAATAATACTTTTTTATACTTTACACTCAGGTTTTTACTTTAAGAGTATATAGTAGACATTTCTGATGTGTTCAACATGGACTGCATTTCTTGTGGATAACAGACCCATCAAACCAAAGCTCTCTGTCCATTTTATGATTCAGTTTTAGTTTCAGCAATGCACTAGTTACTTTCAAAACGATTTATTTCTGTTTTTCTGTACACTTGTGTACCACAGAAGAGCCAATTAATTGTTTGAACTTTACTTTTTGCCTTGTCCTGCAAAAATCTGAAATTGCATCCTTGCTGGTATCATACAAGAGAAGGATTGATAACAGTTCACAAGATTTTTATGTTGAGCTTAAGTTTTCTTGCAACCTCTGGACAGACTTAATTTCAGCAAATAAAGGAGTAGAACATTTGGCCACGATAAACTTGAACATGTATTTTATGGACTATGCAAATCGTTCATTTTAGAGTATATTTTAGACATGTCTGATGTGTTCAACTTCGACAGTATCTCTTGTGGATGACAGACTCATTAATGTTGCTTACATTATTCAGTTTTAGTTGCAGTAATGCACTAGTTATTTTCGAACCGGTTCATTTCTGTTTTTGTGTACCTCACAAAAGAGCCAATAAATTGTTTAAAACGCGACCATTCAATTCATTATTAAAAGTAATCATTTTTAAAGACTAAAAGTTGAGAATTGCAGTCTTAAGAAGCATTAGTGTCATTTCTAGAAACTTTTAGGCTTAAAGATTGTTGTTGTTTTAAATTTAAGTTTATCTTTATTGTTTTCTTTCCACTGTTGTTTTTTGAATTCTGGAAAGAGTTTTCCTTCTTTTGTTGTTTTCAAATTCTGGAGAGAGCTTTTTTTTCTCATTCAATTAAGTTTCGCAAAGTTTTCCCTTCAAAGCATACATTACTTATGCCCAATCACTATTTTTTAAGCTTGAGTAATGATTATCTTTGAGATTTTGCCTCTCTTCTTGTTTCCAGAATAAGAGGATCTCATAGTGAGGAGAGCTCTGCGAAAGGAAGCTGAGCTAAAAATGGTCTCCAATACCTTATGTACAAACTAGATTGAAATAACTCCTCTCATTGTCAATATTGTCAGTCTTTGAGTAGCATCAAGGCTTTAAACTTTATGTTCACAATTCATTTTGTATGCTTATTTTAGTAATATTTATTTTGTCTCCCTCTTTAGGAAAAAACATATGAACAAATTGTATCAGAACCTAAAGGCACCAAGTGTTCACTTCGGTTTTCAATTGTAGATTCTGTTTTATTGGACAGCTTTTAGCCAAAGTTGGCTGAACAAAATTTTTCAGCGCCATGAATTTTTAAGAGGCTTTGCTCCTCTTTGCTCTTTGGTCTGTTTTAGATCCCTCGTGCAGTCGGTTGAACTGACACAATTTTCTCTGAAATTCCCTGGAAACTACATTCCTTTCAATGCTAAATTCCTTAGTGTAAAATTTAAAATATTAGTGTAGAATGGATTTATGAAAAATAGATTCTAGACGTGCTTTTTGTAAATGAATCTAGTCCGGTGATTCAACCGGTGGAGCCTTCGGGAGAGATGGTGATCTCAAAAGTTTAAGAGAGGTTCTCTAATTAAAAGCACATAATTCAATTACTGCTCAAAATTTCAATTTTGTGTCCCAATCCAGTTTAGGGTCTCTAAATCATCAGTGATTTTATTAATTCAAGATACCTTTTTTCTCATCACTGTGCCTTGCCTAAGAGCAAATTTCTATTGCCTTTCTGCATCAAGTACCTACCTAGTATAGTCGAGTAACAAGTGTGTACTTATATTTTTTGTTTTGTGTGTGTGAGTGTGTCGCACTAGGTGGTTTTAAAATTTCCAAGGAAACACCCAGATCCGTATATTAGTGATAGTGTTTTTTTTGTCTGATACATGTTAACATTATTGTAATTACTTTCAGTGAAGCATCGAAATGTGGTCAGATGTTTTACCATAATCTCGAGTCGAGTCTTAGTTGTCTTTGTATTCATTGTCATAATTGTCAAATCTGCTCTCTTGTATCATGATAAAAAAAAAAAAAAAAAAAAAAAAAAAAAAAAAAAAAAAAAAAACCCCAAAAAAAGTTGGAGAATGCTGACTTGCTTTTGTTATTCCACAGTAAACGGAGAGGAGGCTGTCAATGTAGTAAATCAAACGAACTTAAATAGGATTTAAAGTCTGCAGCAGCCTGATCGTTGAAATTTTGTGTTTGTTGACTGGACAAGACAGGATTAGGGAGAATTGAGTCATGTGATTGGTCAGCCCTCTTTGGTCCTCTTTGTTGTGCCGGTAATGGACATATTTAAGCAGGATTTGATGACATAGTATCAGCAACTCAGGAAATGTCTCTAGCTTCTCGATGAATATGTCCATTACCGGCATGACAAAGAGAACCAAGGATAATGCAGACCAATCACACAACTCCATTGTCCTTAATCCACTTAACGAACACAAAATTTCAACAATGAGGCTGCTGGTCTTTTCTCAGAATACCCCAATTGAAAGGAGGAGAAAATCAAAGGAGCAAACGTGTAATATGAACTTATTTAGATAAGAATTTTGATTTCTGTGAGAGAACGTATTCGCTTACTCTGTTGAATTTTTGATCATTCTCTTTTTCTGTTAGGTTCATTTTTTCACATTCCCCATGTATTCCCTGTAATTAAATCCACCGTTCTCAGGTCCAACGTTCCCTCGCCCAAAAATAATTTCCTGACACAGTACATAATGAGGATAAAGTATTTTAAGAATGTATTATTATGAATTAATTTGATTTGATTCATTTTGTCACCTACCGCTAACTTTTTTATCATTCACCTGAAATGTGCTTGCCTTATTGTTTGCTTCCTCTCACAGTCACTAATACTACGTATCTGGTTTCCCTCTAAAAAACTGATATCCCTAGCTCATACGTACATATTTGCGCATGATGGCAACTCTGTGAGACCAGGTTTGATCAGTGATTGAAGTTGGTTTTCTTAGAATCGTACCTTTTGTCTCCATCCCTTATTTAAGTCATCATGCGCCTATTTTTTTAGTGTACTCTACTTTTTTTCGAGTTCCTGTTAAACCTGTATTTTGTCTCTCTAGTCCAGATGATTTTGTTGAATTTTCTGACATAGTGGCCTTTGTGTGTGTGTTATCCAGAAAGAAATGGTTTTTTTTTTCCTGTCTGGAGAGCCAACTTTGGCTCAGTATTGGAAACAGCCTTATTTTCCCTCCTTTATTTTCATAGACCTTCCTTACCACAAAATCCGTTCCATGGAAAGGAAATCTTGTTTTTTTAATTTTTGATTGAACTATTCATCTTACTCCTGAGCACAGTTTTGATCTTTCAATTGCCCCTCAGTGATTTTTAAGCCCGATCTGGACAGTTAAACATTTTCAGATATCACTGACAGAACATTTGTTCAACAAAGCAGCAGTTTGGCAGAACTGCACATTTTTATATTGTTTTCTTATATGGTAATACATTCAGTTTCTGTTCAGTAAAAACTCCCTCTGTACAAAAATTATAAAAACCAGACTTTAAGATCACTTGTCTTTGAGACCCACCTCATCAACTTTTTGTTCTTTTCCTTGTATTTTTAATTGATTTCTGTTTCTCAAGTATCGGAATAAACTTGTCAAAGCTTGGATTTGCAACTCAACCCACTTTACCCTTCTGTTCGATTGTAATTAGATCCTCTACCTCTTGAAGTAGGTATTCAATAATTCCTTCAAATGAAAAATGAATCACAACTTCATTGTAGTTTTTTCCTTTTACCGACTCACTTGTACTCTAGGATCGGTATTAGATAGAAGTGCGAGTCTCCGATGTTCATTTTCCCATGTCATGCAAGTACTTATACCATATAAATTGAAAATTCTCCCAGCATTAGCTCCGAAGTATTTATATCATCAATTTTTTGCCCTTATGAAATAATGCAAGTAGTTCCTAAAATAAAGGTTTTAAATCTAGAATAATTTCAACTCTTTCCAATATAATTCCTTTTTTCACTTTACGTTTGTTTTCTGACGTCAGCAGACAGAATACTCTCAGATAAAAATAGGTATTGTTTCGGTAATTTTTTTTATGTTTCTTTAATGAAGAAAGGAAATGAATTTGAACGTATGATCTGTTATTCTGAAAGCTGTTATTAACAATACCTATCTCTATCTCTACATAAACCATTGATTAAGATCCATCAAGAATTTTTTTTTTCTCAGAAAAAGCAAAAACTGTTGATGCTTGAAACCTATTTATCTTTGGTCCTCTGGAAACTTGTCCTCTCTCGATTACGGAGAGATAACTGACGTGACTGTAAAAATGGACAATAAATCATTTGTTTTGTTCCACACAATCAAATTTTTGCAATTACACGAGTTATTTAGGGTGTTTCTCTGTTACCTCTGTTTAATTTGAGCTTACCTTTTCAGTTTTATTTAATGTTACCTTGCGCCCAGTTTTGCAAATTTAGTCAAGTAAATTCATGAAGTACACATTTTTGTGCTTCCTCCCGTAGTTTCATTTTATCTTTATCGTCAACCAGTTCCTAAGTGAGTTATTTCACCTCTCTAAAGAGTACTCCTGAATTATAATCCATATTTGTATAAGTAACTGTCAACTTATTTACTTTGTGATGTTACGATTTTGCCTTTGGAAAAAATGAAATAGTATCTCCAGTTTTCAATTTTGTAGCATTTAAGTTTGTGTATTTAACTGTCAAAATAATCGAGTACTTAATCGCACTGCATTTTTTTCTTCTGATTTTTGTAATGAAAATGAACTCTTAAATAATATCTACCATCTCTCATGTCATCAATTTTTTGAATTTTTGGTTACGAATAAAAATATTCTTTTTTCGCAACTTCTTGTTCATCATTTTACTGGTGCATCCTATGTGGACGTAAGATTAGAAATTCAAAACCTGGTAAGCGCCACTAAATGTTGATGAGTTTGTGCATGATGTCTCTTGCTGAGGTATAAAAGGACTTTCATACCTTTGCGTTGTGGATTTTTTAATAGAGAATTTTCTCCCAGTTTTGGTTTTTTCCAAGACACTAATTATTATGCAAAGTCCACCGGATTCTCTTTAAACGAGAGAAACAGCTGTATAATATTTAGCAACATTTGATGACACTTGCCAAGCTTTAAAATTCTATCCTTTAAATATTTGTCCTGTATTCCTAAACCCTATGTATTTTTGAAAGTCTGCAGTAAACCAGTGTTGCTATTGTTAAGATACAGGGTATGACAACGAGTAATCGTAAAAAAAAAAAAAAAAAAAAAAAAAAAAAAAAAAAAAAAAAAAAAAAAANAAAAACAAACAAAAAAGTACTCCTGTATTTGTCAAAAACGGTTGTAAATTTTTAAAAATTGCTTTGGTACACACTTGTTCATTTATGTTGAAGAGAGTACCTTCTCCTGTCATTTTGAAATTTCGTCCTTCATAGAGGGGCTCTGCGGGAAGGAATCCCCCCCCCCCCCCCCCCCCNGAGCTCAAAATTGTCAACATGGCACCCTCCTTTTTTGATATCCATATCATTGTAAAGGGCATAAAGAAAGGAAAATTTTGACACAATTTGAGAGTCATCTTAATCTGTTTCGAAGTAGGGGGCACTATAAACCAAATTAGTGGTTTTTTGGCCAAAGAGGAACAACATACATGTTGTGAGATTTAAAAAAAAAAAAAAAACAACTGCTCTATTGGAATAGTGGCCTTTAGCTGACAAATCCAGAGCACGTGTTTTTTCGTTTTTCAAAATTCGTTACAGTTTCTGCAAATTTCAAGGTTGCTCCTAAAAACCCGAAGTCGTCCGATGTTAGCCACCTGTTTTTGAATTTGACCCTTTACGGGATAACGTCGCAAAATCCATTTCCATTTATTCCGCCGCAGCGCGATATTTGACTCTTTTTGACTGTTTTGACCGTTCCAGTTGCATGTTCCTTGTTAGAGGGAACATTGAACGTACAATGACATTTTAAGGTTAGATGATTATTGACACTTCTCTGGTCTTATCAATCAGTGCAAGTCCAATACTTCAACCGATTTCCCTGCCAATTTTATCATCTAATAGTTTTCTAATTAGTTTCGAACGAAATGTCTTCCGCAGTTTATCGATCTATCATCTCCACTGCCGAGAAATTTGTGCCAAATAAACTTCAGCCTTTATGGAATCACCCTGCTGGTATGTCAACAACTCCTATCTATTCTTTACATTGATCTTTTCCTTTTTCTCCCCCCAGATTTTTTATTTGACAGTATAATCTAATTTACTGGCACCAGCAGGACTTCGTATTTTCTGGTCATGTTTTTTTTTACTCTCATGACCTCTCTTTTTAGTGTCGATGAGTGATTTCTGTAGTTTCACTTCCTACTGTAAGTTTAGGTTTGGAAGCAGGATTTGCCGTGAGCTATCCTTTTCAAAAATTTGGCAGAATTTCAGGTATGAGCTTATTACATTTTTCAACGACTGTATGCGTTAGTGACGCACAGTGCTTCAATTTCACCTTAGCAGTTTTTGAGCAATTCAACCAGTAAATTGTACCAGAGGCTGCATAGAATCATGATGATGAGGCATTAATTTTTACAAGGAGGATGAACACATTGAAGTGGTGATACCTGGCTATCATTTTTATTTGCATGTACACTTTTCTTACAGAGCCGGAAGAGGTTGGTCTCCTATGGGGTAGTGGTTATTGCACTGACTGTAATACCTAGAGGTCCTAGGGTTCGATTCTCTGCCAGGTGACCCAAGTTTGATGGTCTCGGGCAATGGTGACCTGGGACTGGGGTCTTGAGCTTAACCCTGTGGATTACCAAAACATTGGTTTACCAAAAAGCCCTATTCTCTCTGTCCGTTTCCTCCTCTCAAAAATTATCTAATTCTGAGTTTGAATACTGATAAGTGTATGAATCTGATATGATGTGCAGTGGTATCATACCTTTATTTTTTTTCTTTCAGGTCCTAAGACAGTTTTTTTTTGGGCACCTGTTTTCAAATGGGTAAGTGATAGAATATTGTGTAAAAACTTTTTGGACGATATGAACTCCATGAAAGTAGTAAAGTTCATACCAGTGAAAGTAAAAGAGAAGGCTCCCATCTGCAAACAAAAGCAAAGATCAACTATTGTGTAAACAAAACTTGTCCAGGCTCTGTATTTAAGTAGGCCAACATGAGGAAAAACTATTGTTATCTGTGAACTGATATTATTTTTATTATAGATTGTCAATGGGAGGAGTTGGAGGGTCATCTCTGTCACTAGATCTAGAAAAAATGTACTTCAAAAGCTTTCAAAATCATTGATAATAAAAATATGACGTGGAATTTTGATCCCAAGTATATTAGAGCTTTCGAAAGCGGTTTTTGTTGAAATAATGAAAAAAAGTCGATTTTTCTCAACTTTTCTGGACATCAATTAGACTTCACCATATTTACTCTTGAAAAAAATAAAAAAAAAAAAAAAAAACATGAATTACTTTTCCCTTGATCTGAGCCAATTCATCCTACTTTCTATACCGGACATCTTTTTTATTTTTCAAAATACTCCAATACTTATTGCAGGGTCTAGTCATCGCCGGTATCGGAGATTTAACCCGCCCAGCCGATAAACTCAGTGTTTCTCAGTCAGGAGCCCTAGCAGCAACAGGGCTGATATGGTCCCGTTACTCACTTGTTATCATTCCAAAAAATTGGAGCTTGTTCAGCGTCAATGTCTTCGTAGCTGCCACTAGTCTGTATCAGTTATCTCGTGCCATCAAGTAAGTATTTTGCTGTAATGTCTTCATTCCTGTCAGTATAACACATTTATTCAAGCTCGCCCAGATTGAGGCCTTAGGAGAACAAAACTGAGCTTGGTATTATTGCTGGGTTGCAAAAAGTCAGGCCTTACAAAATCGTTTGGACATTTGAAACTTTTTAGCATGATCCATGCCATGGGTCCATTGAATGCAAGAGATCCAGCCAAATAAATGTACTTTTTAAGGGTAAAATCACACGCAAATCACGCCAGGCACATCAAAGAAGTCTGAAAGTGGCAAACCTGACTGCCGACCACCAAGAGAAACTGCTCGCATACGCGGTAAATTTGGAACTGCATGTTATAAACTATGCAGACTGCACGTAAGGAGTGAATTTCAGACTTTTTTGATGTGCCCATCGTGATTTTCGAGCGAATTTACTCTTAATGAATGTATTCAGTTGGCTGTATCTCCTGCAAGCAACAGAGCCATTACTTTCTTTTTGTCTTCGAAGGCTTTAACACTAGCTTTTTTTGGTGTTAATATACTTTTACAATACTGAACTGTCTGTATCTCTATTCAACTCACGGTGTCTACAATTGGGAAAAACTGGTATGTATTCATTAAGAAATGAAAAATTTCTGGAAACATCAGGGAAAAATTGGGGATGTCCGTTCCAGAAACCGAAAATCTCTTCTTCCATCACTTGAAGACCATATTAAGGTGCAATAACACAAATCCTAAAATGGTCTTCCAGCGATGGAGGAAGAGATTTTTGGTTCTCTTGAATATTCAAATTCAAGAATAATAGAGGAGCTCTCATTGATCAGATATTATAAGCATCAAAAACCCTTTTGGAATTTGAAATTCCACTTGATTTGCGCCAAAAAATCTGCTGAAAGATGAAGAAAATCGATATTCATTTTGGAACTCAGGAGAGTTATCTAAATTTTTTCAAGAAAATCTCGGAGAAGTGGAAAAAAACTTTGGTTTCTCATAAAGGAATAAGCTCCTGGAAATCAGGAAAAAATCAGGGCATGAGCTCCTGAAAATGAGGGTAAAATCAGGGAATGCTCATTTTAATTCATGCTCATTTGGTATCTAGAATTACTCTAGATACCATGATTCAATTTCACAACAAAGCAAGGGGCCTATTTCTTTTTGCAGACTTTGTCTGATTGCCTTAAGCAAATTCTTTTTTACAATAAAAACGATAAGAAGGAAGAATGATATTTTGAAAAATCGGTTTTATGTACTTTGTAACCAGTGAAGAATAGCCAATTATGTAATTTCCTCACAAATCATAAGGGAGAGGGATGGCACACGTTTGTATGGACGCTATCAGTAATCTCGTGATAAAGTATCGTCGTTGGGAAAAAATATAGAATCTATATTGAAATTATTGCCTTAATGTGAGGTACATAAAGCAGTTCTCTCGACAGCAAGAGACTGTTACAGATATCAAATCAATAAAGACTCGAATGCAAATTTTGAATGGATTAAACTTTAATCATTCAATTTTTGAAGGAGCTAGCAGTCTGTATTTTTTTTTACTTTTTGTTTTTTAGTTATCAAAGATCCTTGACGTCTGCCGAGGCAACCCCTGCGGATAAGCAAGAGTCAAAATGAGAACTTCCTTGGAACTTGTGTGGCAATAATTCAGTGTTCTTGTGATATGTGTGCGAAATATCTAACCATCCAGTAAACTCAACTGTAAGCAGCATATCCTATTTGATCAAAAAATCTGAAGGTAGCATCTAAAGCTCAAAATTTTTAGAGCATTCATGAGATGTGCAACTCTCCTTCCTACTCATTTGCAAAGTTTTTTCTGGAACTTCGTTTAGGTTTTTCATTCCATTGACCCTTCATCTCGGAGTACATTTAATTTTTTTTTTTTTCAAATGTAGACGTTCATGTATTAGTCTGAAGCGGTTAATTAAAAATGTTCAGCTATTGTAGATATTGCTGATTGTTTCAGCAACGCCCCAACAGTGAACTAGGTCATATTTTCCTTCCAAAACTTCTGAAGATGTTTCTATTCCTAAAAAGTAATTTAATTGAAGAATTGACAATTTTCCAAAGACCTCTCTTGTTACACATCAATGTTCAGAACTCATCCCAAAAAGTACAGCAATCTGTCTGTACAATATGAGCACTTAGGATCAGGAACCTGTACCTGTTCAGCAGAAAATAACTGTGATACATTCCATTACCTCTCATTGGGTAATTTAAAAGAAAGCAACTTTATTCCTTACAAATAAAAAATTAATTAATCTAATATTTTGTGTAAATTTACATGAACTTATTGTTACTTAAAAATTATTGCAGAAACAAAATGATCAAATTTTTCAAACTCTTGCAATTCTGGAACTTAATTCTTCTGAAAATTTTTTAGCCCCGTCTTTAGTTTTCTCAGGCGTTGGGAGATTTTAACTTGATCAAGACTCATGTTATTGATTGGATAGACTTTTCTTTGCATGCACATCAAGAGTACAAGGAAAGTTTATCCAATCAATTTAGTTTAATATGTCAGACTGAGCCATCACAAAGAAGGTTTCAATTTATTAATAACCTCCTATGATTTTGAAATGGTTGCCTTCGGTTAATTAATTTAATTTTGTGTGCGGACTCATCTAGTTAATTTTTTAGAGGAGAAAACTGAAGTTTTGCAAAATATCATATAGAGCAGCAGCAGGCTGAGTATTAAAATTAATAGACAAAGTAATGGACAAAAATGAGCAATTCTATTGGTTGAAACGAGTGGTCGGTATAGACCACAAGAGAAAGCAATGAACTAACTGTAGGGTCTCTTTTGGATTGCTGTTAGTTAGTCGATTCTTACCTTCTTTGTCCATTGCAACCACCCGCTTCTACCAATAGGATTGCTCTAGTTTCTCTTTATCTAGCAATTTTAGTAATCAGCCCGCAGATATCATGTGAAAAAGACATAAAAAATCAGTCTAACTAGTTGGCCGTTTCCAATTTATATAACTGAAGAGAATTGCCAAAACTCGTTCTTTATATTGCAGAAGCTTCTAAAGAGCACCACTCATTAGTTGGTTCTAAAATGTGTTGCTTTCATCTGATTTAGTTTTTTTTCTTAGATCTGGCCGATGGCAAAACAGAATATATGCTACGGAACATTTATATATTGCACACCTATCCTTGTGTCAATTGTTTCTCTTAATTACTGATACCAAATCAGAGAAGCTGAATGTTGGTTGATAGTGCCGACACCTGTATCACAGGTGCCTGCATTCTTGTTTCCTTCTTATTTCATGCTGAAGACACATTTCTCATGAAATATGAAGTCTTCAGATTTTATCAGAATTTATTTTAGTCAATTGGCAGGGTTTTTATTCTTTATTTTATTCTATTTAAATTAGTTAATTCTGTTTTTCTCAACAAGATAAGCCCAAAGACACTACTGTTTCCTTCAAATCTGCTCAAGAACTTAGTATCTACGTAATTAGTTTTTTCAATTCATTCCCTGATTGTTGAGGGAACTAGAATCCCTGTTAAATGATAATTCGTGGCCAAGAAATTTCCAGCCCTGTTTGAATACAGCAAAGAAAACCAGTCATTAAAATCTAAAATTTGTTATAAAAATGAAAGAATCCTTGAGACAGATAAGTAAATATTTGTCAGAATATTTTTCAAAAATTTAACTACCGGCATAAATTTTGAAATTCCCTTCAGATGCAAGTTCTTTTAGTTTCATTATTTATACTCAAACTCTCCATGCTGCCTCAATATTTTCACATTGTTTTTGTCTCACCAGCTTACCAGCTAAATGCATTGAATGCATGACGCTTTCAAATTTTTTATTTTTCTGTACAAAATTGTTACTTATCATTCTGTTGACCAATCAACAATAAATTGTTATTTTTGTTTCTATATTATAGTATTTTTCTGATTCAGTTTTTGTTACCCAAGTAATCTTCTAAAATTATGAAAAGGGGTGCAGAAAATTCTCTACTTTTCCATTTTACAAACTAGCCTTCCCACTTTAAAAACCCCAGTCTCCCCATTTCCTGAGCTATGCAACCTATGTCCTTTGTTCACAAACTGCTATGGGTTTTGCACAAAACAAGCTAATTTTAACAGGATTCTACAAAAAAAACACGCTTACACCACAATTTTCGAGGAAATATCTGATTTAAAAATATTACAAGCTGGCTTTCCCAACTTATACAGCCTTCCCATGCAAGCGGCCATGAGATCATTATCGCATGATGGGGAAATATCTGCACCCCTGATTGTGTAGATGTTCTGGAAGGGTGGAAAAAGGGAAGACAGTATCTAGAAAAGAGTTAAAATAGTCGCACTAAAAAAAAATTAAAAATCGAAGAGGCATACACACAAAAAGTTCTAATTTTAAAAATGAAAACTTCAATTTATTTTAAAATCATAATAAAAATAATTTACAATTGATAAATTACAGGTTCATAGTTGAGGGCATTTTAAAAATAATGAAAATAAAATCATCTGATGGACTGAGCATGAATCAATGTACATGCCATAAGAGCCTTGGTATCTCTTAAAAATTAACTGATACACAAATAGAATTCACAGTGATAATTGGAGACATGAAATCCTCATGAATGTGTTGACAAGTGCTCAATATGTACATGGATAAATTAATCAAGTTACCGATTGATTTGCCTTCAGCTAACATTAATTACTAACAATTTTAAAAAACCAAAAAATGGACGAAAATTTAACTAACTTGTACTATACTTATGATTATGTGTACAGTGCAAGTAAGTTAAATTTTCGTCCATTTTTTTAGTTTTTAAAATTTTAATCCTTGACTTGAGCGGGACCATTCACATGTACTACAATCAATTACTTGTCAACAATTGTAACCTTGAAGATGGCTGGTTTTAAAAATTTCAAGTCTTTCTTTGAAAAATTGGTTTTTGATAGAATTATGGAGAGAAAATAAATGGCTTACAGTCACCAGTGTCCATTTAATGTATTGGGACAAAGTGCCAAATTTTGAGGAAGGGGCGTACAGCTGTTGAGCTAATGGCAAAATGCATATTTACAAAATACAGAGAACACTCTTGCGCTATGACTCATTGCTGTTCTTCTTCCTGAAAATTGCTGTTGTTATCTTGGTGTCTTGTTTGATGATGCACTTCCTGTGGAGAAGAAAAGAAAAAAATTCATCAACTCAAAAACATTAAACAATAGTTTTGTGGATTTGTAGGATACAAATAATATCTCAGTCACTTTTGTCAACTGTATTCATTTCAGATTTAGATTTAGATTTAGAGGGGCTCTTTATCCTTAAATACAGGGAAAACTTTACGGAACAATTTTTTAGATCCAGTGAGACTGTTTCGTTCTATGATATTTTTTCTTCCTTTAAGCCGTTTTAAGGGGGCATTTGGTCGATCATAGTTTCTCCAATTTTTTGTTTACAGCTGTAGCCACATGAATCAACAATATTACATAAAATTAGGGGCCAGAAGAAATTTTCATGCAATAAATTCATTTCTGGTGACTGCAAAAATTAAAAATTGAAAACATGGGGGGAGAGGGACCTCTTAAAATCATGATCCCCCTTAGAAGGATTTCAACAAAAAAATGCCATTGGATAAAATAGTCTCATTTCGGTCTAAAAGTCCTTTGGGTTTCCGCCATTTGATTTTGGACACCCTTTATACTGATAAAAGTCTCTCTAACATAGACGCAAGATTTCTTTTACACTGATGATTACATTGATACATTTCTTTGTCAATCTACTGAGTTATTGATGCAGGTTCTAAATTTTGTTATGTAACCTTAGAGGTTTACAATTTTCAGAGAACCTGAGCTTGTTGAATGATTCCTCTCACTTTAGCAAAATATCAGGGTATTTTCTCTGAATATTTAAAAATCATGAAAAAGATTTTAATGAGCAAAGCTGACCGAAAACAAATGCAACAAATCTTACACGAAACTAGCTTTATACAAAAGTTGTTGAAATCGAAATTAGTAGATGAGGAGAACTCTACTCAAAAGATGTATACAAGTTTCATGTTTCTCTCAAATACTGTAGTCGTGTATTTGGACAGGGTGGTTGTCTTTCTGTAAAAATAATTCAGTGAACTTACTGAGTATCATTTTCTAGCAGAATAGTGGGTGGATTTGATTTTGGTTCAAGACGACGGACATGATGAGCAATAGCTGAGATAAGTCCACTACTCTCGGGCTTGGCATCTCCTGCGGCTGGAATATCAGAAGAGGGGGAAAAATGAGTAAATGTAAGTTTAACAATGCACATAGCTTCAAAGCTTCAGCATTTCTTTTTTTAAGCCACTTCCAAATTATGAGCTTCATTCAAAATATTTACACATCGAACCGGAAAAAAATCTAGGTGTCATCTGAATGTCAGCTATAAATTGAAGCCACTGGAAAAGTGGAAATGGAATTACACCATGAGGTAAATTTTGTTCTTTGCTATATGTACTTTGAAATAAATTTCAGTAAAATGCACCAAAATCTTTGCTTAGTAATGATAAAAATAAAAATCACCTTTTCCCATTTGCCAGAGCTTTCAATTCTCAGATCACCCAGTGACTTATGACTATCAAACACTTCTTACTCTGATGACATAGAAAGCCATAGACAAGACATAGAAAGCACACAATACCAAAAAATCTGAATGAAAACTTGAAATTTCTGGGAAAAAATTCAATGGTAACATTTACTTAAATTTGGATTGAATTTAGTAGTAGAAAACCAACACAATTACAATGTTGTCAAAATCGTGCGAAATTTTTTTGACTTTGGAGAAATGTTGTTTTGATGAAATTTACAGGATAGTTCACTTTTAAAATTGACACATTTTTCGTAGAAAAACCGAAAGACTTTAATGGGCCATTGGGCACATAATAGATGAGGATTAAGTTGCAAAATGTTTACTATACAGATTTCTGGTTTCTTTTCGCTAAATATAATCCATTAAAAGGTAGACAGATGGAGCGAATATCAACGGTGAAAGCAAAAGAAATCGTACTTCTACTGCAATGCTTCAAAATCCCTGCTGTTCTTTAATTTTTATTTTTCTTGGGAAACAAAATCAACACTGCCACTTTAATTTTCACAAAAGATTCAACGCCTAATGAAAGGAATATAATACGGCTTCGCCGCACGACTAAAAACCTAAGGTATCAAATTATTAACTTTCCTGGGAAAAAAATAAGAAATTAAATCTGCAGCATTCCGAATCAAGTAAAATGTTTTTTGACTTTCACACCTCCGTTTGCTAGAATATTTTCTGGCAAGATGATCAGGAAATAAAATTTCTCCTCAAAAAAACTTTTAAATTTGACTTATTTGGGTTGAAAAAAATAATTCTCTGTCACAGTTTACGAGTGAGTTAATACTTCTAAGCCTCTTCAATAATTTTATGCCATTAGAGACAGCAATGACAATCCTTACCACATAAGCACAGTCCATGTTTGTCAGCAAACAGACAGCCTGTAACATCACCATGAGTAAGTCTGAAACAGAGGAGCCCAAATTAGGAAATGGTGAGAAACGTGTCAAAATTCAGAGGTGCTAAATTCATAGAAAAGAGAGAGAAAAAGCAGTACCGGTAAGCACCAGTATCCTCATAAAAACTGTGAGTAGAGCAGTGTCAGAAAGGTAGGTGAAAAGTTGAATTTTTAACTGATGTCACTCGATGTCGGTGAAAGATTTAACTGATGTTAGTCAAGATCAGAGGAAGATTTAACAGTTAAACAGGCATTTCAACACTGTTCTATCGATCATTATCATCAAGGGAAGATACTATAATATACTTAGCTCATTACTTATTTATAACGAAGTTAAGTAGGTTCGGAGTTGGAGAAACTTGTTAAAACTGCCAACAAGCTGCAGCAGAATTGTTAAAACTGTAGCTGGCTTTGTCGGCATTATAAGACAAGACAGCCTTATCTGAGCTGTGTAATTAATTGATTTTTCCGCGCTTAGTAACTTTACGCACTTTAAGACTGCGACAATCTTGTGACGTCAGTTTAGCATTGAAAGAAAATGCAAGAATCAAGATGGGAGAGCTTTTGCTGTAATTTACAAATGTGTTAACTTATTTAGAAGAGAAATTTACTGGGCAATATCAACCATTCTATTCAGTTCTAAATGAGGCATCGATGCCAACCCTTCGCAATACATACATGAACTCAATGTTGTTTTTTTAAATCAAGGAAAGGAAAACAAAAATCAAACAATCAAACAAAAATCAATTTTAAATCAAACACGGAAGAGGAAACTGCAGTGGAGGTGCTCATCTTGCTTCCGGACCAACTTTCAGCCTTCATCTGGCCCCTTCAAATTAGTTTAGGAGTCACTTGCAGAACCATGATAAAAATATTAATCAAATTAAATTTGATAAGACACGCTAAGAATTGATGGAAGGTCTTCCTTCAAGACTAAATCAAGTAATTAAAAAAGTGAGTGAATTTAAATCTATCACATACAATTGAGGGGCTTTGAGGACAAGGCGCATAAGTGCAGTTTTTGAAAAATTGAGATATTCATGATTTCCAGTGTAACTAGTGATAATGCATTTACTATCAAAAATTCGCTCAAAAATTACAATTTTTAAGCATCAAAAAGCTACTTCGAACTTTCTTTCCGCCATACGGATCCACGTAATTTCGAAGCTTCAAACATGTATTTCTCAAACTAGCAAGAACTGCACTCGTGCACCTTCTCCTCCAAGCCCCTTAATTGGTTTCCATTTGTTCTCAAACAAGTCGCTTTTGCATCAGGAAATACTAGGATGAAGTCTGTCAGTCAAACACGGAAGAGGAAACTGCAGTGGAGGTGCTCATCTTGCTTCCGGACCAACTTTCAGCCTTCATCTGGCCCCTTCAAATTAGTTTAGGAGTGCGTACTTTGTATGAGTTGTAGATCTGAAAAGATGAAAAATCAGCCTCACGACTGCTGCTGACACAATACTTACATGTGCTGCGCTGCTGCTTCTAGCGAATTCTCCATAATTGAATCTTAGGAGGATGGACTTGCTTCAAGCTTCTGGGTTTAAAGTGAAAATATACCTGGCGGATCCACACCGAAAAATGTTCGACTATTTGTGGATAGTCTGTAAAATTGCACTTAAAGAATTTGAGTTGTTGGAATTACTTAGTTGGAATGGTTGAAGTTGAGATCACTGACTACGAGGCAATGTATGGGGAGCAATCATGACTTGTTGACTAACTTTTTTTAGCTGTAGTGCTTGAAAATCTTAGATTGAATTGTAGTAAAAATTAAAGAACAGAGGTAATTTTAAATCGGAGAGAAATTTTAATTATTTTGTAGACTTCCCTTATCACACACAAACAATAAACAAAACATAAAACGCTGTATAAGTCACCAGAGGGGTTTTCTTTTTTTGATCGGTGGTACCGCCGATCACCAAACTGTGTTCGTTAATTGATCCGTCGGTGCTGACGTCACGACCGGTGGAAGTACGACCGGTGGATTTGGTACCACCGATCAGTGATCGGAGTGATCGGTCATTTCTCCGATCACAGCTCCACCGGTGGACAACCTAACCTTACTTCAGCCAGATCTCAGGCCAAAAACAAGCAAACAAACGAGAAATCGTGAGTATTTCGCGCCTCCCGCCGTCGCTGAGTCTGATGATTCTGCTTGGATCGTCATTGTCGCCTATGTATTGAATTATGTAATATTTTTAGTGAAATTTTCCCCCGTACTTTATTTGTAGCAAAAAAGGAGTTAATGCTGGTACATTGAGTATATATTTGCACTATTGCAGTATCATTGCGGTAAAGGTTTGATGAGAGGAAGAAATCCATTTGTTTACATTGGTGGAAAGTGTGTTCTTAAACTCCCGACTGATCGCGGGCAATTTCGTACCAAAATGGCGGCCGATGGATTTCCATCGGTGGATTTAGGCAGATCTACCGATCAAAAAAAGAAAACCCCTCAGTCAGCCAGTCACCACTCAACATGTCCGTGCTTTTGAGGTTATGTTGTGACAGTTCAATGTTTATGCGGTTTCAGTTTCCAAAAATGTTTTAGCTTTTGAATTATTGAAGCTGTGCAGTAATCGGATGAGTGTCGTGCGAATCTATGAATATAAGATGCTTCTCATGTAGTACCAAGTTTCATCATGTAACATTTTCATCGTGAAGTGGAATTTTCTTGCTTGAACTCGTGAACAATTGATATCCGTCAGCATGACTTACATGGAATTTTTTGGCTGCGCTTCAGTTGCCTTCGGGCCAGCCTTAGCTATGTTTATTTTCACTATTTCGAATGATCCAGTCAGAATAATTATATTGATAGCAAGTGCATTTTTTTGGTTGCTATCACTTCTAATCTCTTCATTTATATGGCTCTTATGGCCTTTCAAATCTTTCCTCTTTTTTGGTGTGACTTGCTCCGTCATTTTCCAAGAACTTTTTCGTTATCTTTTGTACTCAGTTCTTTGCAAGGCAGAAGAGGGTTTAAAAAGAGTATCCATGCCAGGTACTCAAATGAGCAGCAACAAACAAGCACTGTCGTATGTCGCAGGGCTGGGTTTTGGATTGATGAGTGGAGCGTTTTCTTTAGTGAACATTCTCGCGGAGGTTATTGGCCCAGGAACAATGGGGCTTCACAAGGGAGATCCTGAGGACTTTTGCATCATCTCATCGACCATAACAATGTGTTTTATCTTCCTTCACATATGCTGGGGTATCATTTTCTTCGAAGCCATCGATAGGAAGAACTACGCAATGTTCACCTACGTATTATCAACCCACCTTTTAGTTTCGTATGTCACAATGTTAAATGCAAGTAGACTGTATTGGCTTTCCATGTCAGTTATTCTCGTAGTTGTCAGCATGTCTGCATCTGTTGCCTTCATCATCTCTGGAGGATCTGTGGGGAGCCTAAAAGCAATAGCCTCTAAGAGCTCTAGACCTCTAACTGTTCAAGCTGACTGATGATTCGTCAGTTAACTGGCGGCCTTATACATTGTTATTGCAAATTGCCCAATAATTTTTTCAAACCCTCAATGAGCTGTATGGAAAGTCCTTTAGTGTTTAAAATTGTCAGGATTCAATAGAATTGAGGCATATTGTAAAGAAATAAATTTTTCTTTCATCACTTGTAGTGTTTTCACAACAAAGTTTCTCCGAAAAAATGTTTCACTCAAAACTTTTTTTTAAAAAAAAAAACAAATAAATCTCAGATTATCCCAGCATCTTTGACTATACTTACTTTTAATCGTCAGATAGTACATGAATCTTAGAATCTATTTTTAGAGATTTATTCTCCAACCTCTTTCTACCAGAAATGGTCGAAATGTTCGTGAACATTCCTAACCTAACCTAACATAAGTCTCATTGTCACTAAGACTCCTAGAGAAAGAAACGGAGGTATTCGTATCTTTAAGATTGTTTACCCTGTGATGTAGGTCAGTACAACATGGCCAGCAAAATTCGGAATTCGAAGCATGAGAAACAGACCATAATGTCCAATTTTTTAGCTTAAATCAACTCATGATATAATTTCAAACTTTACATAGAAAGACTTTTTCCTCTAAACCACACCATTTCCAAGAAAATCGATCCTATAAATCATCCGTACTGACCTACATCATCAAAAAAATCCAAGATGCCGGAAGAGCACACACCTCCTTTTTTTTCTCTACGACGAAGAGTGGACTCTTTCTATAAAAGTGTGAATAATTAACTTCAAATGTACATTATATTGAACTATATTGAAGAACAGTATTTATCTAGAATAAAATAAATTCTGAAGACATTTTTTGGGCTCTCCAAATTTGTCTCTGAAACTGCAAATAATGTCCTTAAAATTCTTAGTTCTTTGTAACCATCTATGTTTCACATGTACCTCCTGTTTTGGGAGCTCTTTTCACTTTGCTGTGTGATTATTTTTTGTTTTTCATCAAATGTGGATGTTTGAACTAGCTTTCTGATGTTTTAAGTAATATTAAGGTGATTTGTCAAGCTCAAATGACATGGTCGAAGTGGAGTGCGATATATCGCATCGATTAGGTCAAAAATCTCAGCAGATTTTGAATTTTTAGCAAAAACAAGGACGATAGCCCCTGCGCATGAGCCTAAAGAATCATTCTAAACCCAAAAATCAGCAAAATTCAGAGAAATGAAAGCAGAAGTGTTCGGAAAAAAACCTCGCATTCGATACAGAAATTGATGGCTGAATCGAATGGGAGGTTTTTTTCCAAACACTATTCTGCTTTCATCTCTCGGAATTTCGTTGATCTTTGGATTTAGAATGATTCTTTAGGCTCATGCGCAGGGGCTAGCGTCCTTTTTTTCGCTAAAAATTCAAAATCGACCGAGATTTTTGACCTAATCGATTCGATATATCGCATGCCAGTTCGACCACGTCACTTGAGCTTGACGAATCACCTTAAGGGCAGCAATCCAAGCATACAAAAATCAAAACTCTGGAAATTGAAGTTGCTTATCGCCATCCGCCTACCAACATCTCAGAATTTCGAAATTTTACCCACTATTTTACAGAGAAACTCTTGCATATTTTCCTGCAAAAATTTATGTTAGTTTTTTCATCTCTCAAAAAAAAAAAAAAAACTGACGTTTGCAAAGTTGTTTCTATTGAAATGTATGTCTTGCGTCTGTCGAAATTCTGTACCACTGCAGTGGAACATGAGTTCTTAATTGATCTATTTTTACCTTAAGGAAATATAAGAGCTTGCAAACTATTTTATTTGAGGTTGAATTTTTTTGAAATATTCTCCATATTCAGAGTGTGATATTTTAACATCCTCCAAAAGAATAGATTAGTATATTCCTAAAAATTATGTGGATATTTTAAAGAACTAGTTTCTAATAAATGAGTAAAAAACGTTTGATTTGTGGGTTTTCATTAAGTTTCTCTTCTGATCTTTAACTTGTGAACAGTGATGTAGAATAAGATTAGTAGATCATGTCAACAGAAGCGCAGGCACCGGCTATTCTCTCTTGTCCTCAAAGCAAAAATGTTACAGTACCTAAAGCACTATGTCTGGATTTTTGATGTTCTGGAGTGGTTGAATAGTAATGGATTTGTACCTATCTTCTTGGGAAGTGGAAGGTTTTTCTACATTCATCTTCAAGCTAACCAGAGAAATAATGAAAATTTGACTAAAATTGTACCTATAGTTTTTTACCAATTTCATTTTGTTAAGTTTACGTAAAAGCAAATTTCGATCAGTGCTCACGTTGATGACTGACTCCTGGAAGAAAATTTTTTTACGGTGCTTGTGCCTCTAATTGACGTAGTGTTCTCATTTTATGACAGAGATGAAATAGGAAACCATTGCACCCCGCTAATGTAGTCCTAAAAAGTATTCTTTGATACTATGGAAGAGAGCATTTTTGTTCCTCATAACTTGAGGAGTTACATTAGATAGCAAAAATACATGTGTTTCAAGCACCTATAAGGTGTGATTTCAATGCTCTGCACCACCCTTTGTCAGGTAAAGCTCTACTTGACCAGCAACTTGAACTGTAAAAGCATTTGTGCGAGTCATCAAAGGCTGCACTTACACAAAACACATAAATACTACTTTCAAAATCTCCTGGAGGGGGCAAAATTTCAAGTGTATTAAAACAATCACTCGAAAATTTCAAAAAAGGCCTGAGTTATCTAAGTCTAAAACCGCATTACATCACGGTTCGTAAACATCTTTAACTAATCTTGTAGGGCTGGAAATTTAACTGTTGATGCCAATTTTTTTTTTTTTTTTAAGGGCCAATTTTACTAGAGTTATTCAAAATCATTGATGATTCAATTTCCTCTCTTTTTTCCCTCAAGTGTATTCTAGCTCCGTCATCAACCGGAGGCTTCAATTCTTTTTACTGCTCATGAATTCACTGCAGTTTTTGTCTGTTTCTCCATAGCGGATAGTGCGAAGCGAGGGACTCGCGGAGCTTTTCCGACTGGAAAATCGCACTCAACGGGTAATTTGCAAGCGAGCTTGCTTGGTGCAGGCCGGATCGGCGAACTTCCGATTTTGACCCTAAAAATTTAGTCCATGTGCCCCTGCCGATTTTTCTCAATTTTGGTCGTGGAAAAAAATCTCGAGATTAGACTCGGATCCTATGTAATTGAAGGTGCTGGATCGATTGCGCATGGTCCCGAGGCTCGGCGAGGCTCCCTGAGCCGAGAAACAGTCAAAAACTGGTCGAAAACGACTGTTTCTGACCAGTCTTTGATTGTTTCTCTAAGGCGTTTTCAGCGGATAGGGCGAAGCGAGGGACTTGCGGAGCAGAGCCGGATTACTTACTTGCCGCCCATGGGCCTCCTGCATTTTTCCGCTCTCTTCTCATTCGTTTTGGAACATTAATAGATCGTATTCGACAGTGGTTCGATGTATCGTTTGGGTCAAAACAAAAGAACATAATCTCAAACAAAAATTTTAGGATTTAATTTGGAAAAGCTGAAAATAAGAAAATTCCTAACAAGTTCACTATTCATTGTCATTTGGTACTCGAGAGAATAAAAATTCGATCACATAAGACCCGTTGCTACCTATTTCTAAATTGACTTTTGAGGCTGTGTTTACATATTGAACCAATCGATATCGATATTATCTCACCTGTGTGATCTATTGAATACGATCTATAAAAACCATCAAGTGAACGTGCCGGTGGGAGAGGGGTGTAGGTATGAGACGCGTTCACCCGTGTTGGGCACATTTTTTGTGAAAGCCCTATCAACACTAGCAGAAGTTCACGGAACTTTGCGCGAAAGTTACGTTCCCACCCCCATCCCTGTTTGAACAAGGCCTTTCATTTATAAGAAATGAACGAAAAAATTCGGAAAGAAGAAACATAAGTGTGGATAATAATTTTAACTCCGCCACCGCGCCGACCGCACTGTGATTGGCGCAATGCGTGAAGTATTCACACAGTCTTGTAGGCGCTATGCATTTCAAGCCGACTGCTGCTGACCGCAGTGTATTTGACGCAATGCGTGAAGTATTCATGCAGTCTTGTAGGCGCTATGCATTTCAAGCCGACTGCTGCTGACCGCAGTGTATTTGACGCAATGCGTGAAGTATTCATGCAGTCCTGTAGGCGCTATGCGTTTCATGCCGACCTCCGCGTCGAGGGCTTCTCTTTTTCATCTCAGTCCTCGTCATCATTGCTCTCCGAGCCGCTCCACTCCAGGTCAAATTGCATGTTAGGTTTCTCTTTCACTTCGACTTATTACTTAAATAAGGTGTTGCCTCGCTTGTTTCACCGAAAGACGACGGAATTAGACTATTAGATAGACGACAGAATTAGATAGAAATTACTATACGTTAACTCTCAGGAAATGAGAGATTTTGTCGCCTGCTCTCACTTGTAATAGATTTTCAGAATCCGATTTTTTTCTCTCTTTTTTTGATACCTAGGTACATTAAAAAAGATTGCAATATTTGCCGCCCCCTACATTTTGCCACCATGGGCCGCTGCCCATATACGTGGCCAACCCCTAAATCCGGCCCTGTCACAAAGCTTTTCCAACTGGAAAATCGCACTCAGCGGGTCGTTTCCAAGCAAGCTTGCTTGGTTTCGGCCCGATCGGCGAACTTTCGATTTGGACCCTAAAAATTTAGTCCATGTAACCTCTGTCGATTTTTCTCGATTTCGGTCGTGGAAAAAATTTTCGAGATTAGACTCGGATCCTATGTCGTTGAAGGCCCTGGATCGATTGCGCATGGTCCCGAGGCTCGGCGAGGCTGCCTGAGCAGAAAAACAGTCAAGAACTAGTCGAAAACGAGTGTTTCGGACCAGTTTTTGACTGTTTTTGGACCAGTAGTCGTTTACCGCAGATAGCGCGATGCGACGGACTCGCGGAGCTTTTCCAACTGGAAAATCGCACTCTGTGGGTCATTTCCAAGCGAGCTTGCTTGGTTTCGCCCCGATCGGAGAGCTTTCGACTTTGACCCCTATGTCGGTTTTTTTTTAGGTTTTTAGCTAGGAGGTACGATTCTTAGTTTAGGAAGTCGCGGTGAGCTTTGGATCGAGTGAGTTCCATCAGGAGTGAGTTATACCAGGAACTTATGTGTGATTCGAGGATAATTCTGAACTTTTGTTGCCCGTCCCAGTCGTTTCTCTCTTTCTATAAGTGACCCACGGATCCACCGCGGGAAGGACAGTGTATTTCCAGAAGTGGGAGCAGGAGTCTTGGAAATTACCCTGACCCACTGTGCGGCCCCGCTCTGGCCGGCTTCCCTTATGCCGCGCATCCCCCGCCTGAAACTTTCAAAGCTCGCCATTTTTGAGTGGACATGATTTGACCTCCCCCCCACTTTCGAGTCCCACCCCTCAAAATCTATTGTCTCGAATTTCAATTTTTTTTTCTCTCAGAATAGGAGCTCTAATGAGGCTCTACAAGACGCAGAAAATGTGTCCAAATACCTTGCAACGTAAGAAAGATATAACCACTCAAAAATAGAAAAATCTCAAAAAGGTCGAAATACATACATATATACATACACACATATTAGGTACACATGAATTTGAATGACATATATTTTCGTGATCTACGACCCGTGATCGGTGCTGTTCACAAGGTCTTAGGTCTGGGTCCGACATCATGGGAGAATGCAATAGAGTATTTTCTTTGGAAAATACTAAGAATCGGCAGGGGTGTCATGGATAATCAAGAATCACGGAATATCTCAAAAGTAGAAAAAAAAAAAAAACATATAATAGAATATTTGACCAGAGAAATTTTATTCATATTTAAGTAACATTATGGGAACATGATATTCAGTAAAAGCGAAAGACTGTCTGTTTTGAAAGTAATAAAATAATCACTGAAAAATTAAGAAATCAAATTTCCTTCAGAAAAACGATGTGTAAGATTAGATGCAACTTTTATTGGTTCTATAAAGTTTTAACCAACTCTAATAAGGTCAACGTTGGCAGGTTTTGGTCATTTGAAATAGACCCATTGCTGTACTCATACAATTTTCCAAAACGAAAAAGGCAAAATTTTTTATATCACTGCCTATTAGTCTCATTTTTGACAGATCAGCAACATGCACTAAAACCATTATGGAAACAATGAAAACCATGGCTTGAATCGTGTTTGCCCTTATATTTTGTCCTCAGGGTTGGGTTGTTTCCAAACTGTCACATAGGGGTAAATATTTTGACAGTTAAAAAATTTGGAATTACTTCTTGGAAACAATCTACCGAAATAATACAATTTTTTTAGAAATTTGCTGACTTAACCATTAATGTTCCTTGCTTTTATCTTATCTTAACCCGTGGAAAAATAAAAGTGCTCTATTAAGATAAGGTGATCTAGATTTGATCATAATTGTCAATCTTGAAATGAATCAGTGAGAACCAAAACACACCAACTCAGTAACTCGAAAATGCTCACTTTTCACTGAGGACAGGCAATTTTCATAAAGGCCATTGAAGTTACCGTATCTGTTCCAACTTGGACATTTAAAATTTCCTTAAGTACTTGCTTTTAGGCAGCAAAAATCTTTTTCTTAGACTAGCTTCTTCGCCTAATATGCAGTGGTGTGTGAGTCTTGATTATTTTCATTTTTTCGAGTTGGTGTGTTTTCGTTCTCACTGATTCAAATATTTACTGTTGTGGCACATTTCACGCCCTCTGACTCTCAACATGGACTCTGAATGATAGAGTGAGACTTTTGAGAGAGACTTTTCTGGGAGAAAAATATTCTGCAATTTAAAGGTATGATTTTGGTTCGGTCTCCATGTAAGAAATTATAATGATTGTGGAAATTTTGAAACACTGTGACCAAGATATACATTCATGCGGATTTACTGTCAAGAAGTAGCTTTTAACATTGATAAAAGAAACTACAAAGGCCAACTACTTAACTGTAATATTTGTATGGGTTGTATTTAATACTTGCTACCTAACCAAGTGTAACCATTTGCAGGTGTGCTACGTATAAAATGTATGACTGTAGGTATTAATGTCAAATAATATTCTAAGTAGACATTAATACATTTTAGACATTAAATACAAGCAGTCTTGCTTTTAATGTTTTCGTTAAAAAATTATGCAAATTTCACAAAATAAAAATTTTTAATGCATGTGTGAAACTTAAAAATGTATAATGTAATGAAAAATGTATTTAAATTTTATGTACCCAGATGAGATGATGAATACTGCTAAAGTTGTTTAAAGATCGTGTTGATACATTAGGTACATTCTGGACACAAATTTTTCAGTAGTGATCTTAATATACACAGAAGTTCAGGACTACATTATGCAAAGGTTGAAAACCATTAACTAACAATTGAATTAAACTTTAATTAAAAATCGTGTACCTAAATGTTATTTTCTTTGAACATACTTTTAACTGAAGTTTACATACATAAATCTTATCATTTTTAAACAGGTACTTTTTAAGAAGCTCTATTAGTAGGGAGACCATGAAGTTAAACCAAGCTCTCTTTACTGTAGGTTCGTAGTAAACTTTCTTAGATCTTGATGAAATGATTTTTCATGTAATCTGTGAACCAAACAATGAAATCTGGTGAAACTGCAGCTGATCAACTGAAAAACTCTCCAAGATGTGAATTTCTAAAGTTATGGTATGCGGAGCGCTTTGCAACTACAGGCCAACAGATCCTTTCTTGATAGGAAATTCTGCATCTTGTGGAAAAATCAACGTTTTTCCTTCAAAATTGACTTCAGAACCAATATAAAAGTATGTAGATTTCAAACAAAAAAATAAATAAATATGTAAAAAGATATGTATTTATCACTATGATCGTTGGAAAGAACAATGGTGCATCACATTTCACCTGACGCGTTATTCTCAGCTGAAAAACTTGTTTTGTTTAGCAAGCATATCTTAAATCTACCAAATTTTGTAGTTCCTTTTGTTTGTTAGCATGTATTTGTCTCTATAATATGTTGGAATGTTAATTTTAGCCATCCATAGTGCAACGATCTAGTTGGTTTCTAGCATAGATGCAAGAGTTGCACTTTTACGCAGTCATGTCACTGTAACTCACTTCCAAGTTAGTGCGAGTATAAGAATGTGACGCCTCGCAACCCTCGAAACTGATCGTGAAGGTACTGAATCTCTTCAAGACTTTTCTAGCTCTTCGCTACAAACTGTTGTTGATGTTCACTCGCCACCATTCGGTGGAAGTCTCAAACCCAAACCTCGGGCCCAACCCTTACTGACAGCCATAGGCCAGGTGTGGAGCTCCTCCTACAAACAAGGTTTCTGCGAGCAGAAACTCTGGTCATGTCGAGGCCAGGAGCCATGTTCCAGGAAATTGTGAAAAATGCAGTCGAGGCTGCAGAAACCGACACCTTAGTAATAATTGGTGGCACCAATAACTTAAACTCTAAAAAGACTGATGAGCAAATTAAATCAGAATTTAACTTGGAGTCATTGAAGAAATTAAAGTGCCAAATTATACTCTTTGAGATTTTCCCTTGCTATGATCCTAATATTCATGATTCAAAAATGCGTGGCGTGAACATATTTCTGTCAAACAAGAGTAAAGATTTTGACAACTTAACTGTTATTCGCTCCGGAACCAAGAGATTGTTCGTAAGATCAAACCCCCTAAATTATACAAGCGTAACTTATTTCTTGTTGCAGATATTAATTAATTTGTTTATTCTAAGTATTAAAGCACCCCTCTCATGTGATAAGCATTGACAAATGTCAATTTAAATAATTTTAACGTGAATGTAACTAAATTATAATATTTTAATTTTTTTTTTTTGGTAATACCTAATACAAGATTTTTTTTTTATAAAATTGACATTGTTTATCATTTCTAGTTGTACCAAGATTTTCCCTGACTCTTAAATGTAAGCCTCAGTGTGTATCTCAGGAGTAACATAGTGTTTATACCAGCCTCCTCTGTTTGCAAATGCAAATTTTCAAATTGTAGAATTTTTTGGGGCATTGTTTCTATCTCAATTTTTTGAGGAACTTGGCAATCGGCTTGGATGCCAGAATCGCGCGTACCGCCGGACCGTTCACTGTGTGCTACTTACGCAACCGGTCCCGCGTCCCACGCACTCATCACGCGGGCACGCGTTGCGTCGCGTCGCGCGCTCTTATCACGCGGCCGCGCGCCGCGCGTCTCATTGCAAGTCGCTGCTCAAGCGCCTAAGAAGAAGTTACCTACGGTAAGTACCTCCATGTACCTACACCTCTGCTCCATCGGCGCGCTGGTCCAACTCTAGCCGAGCTCTCCCCGGCTCCAACGACTTGCGGGTCTTCCATGCCCACATCGCCTGGAGCGCTACCACACAGGGCCAACCTGAGGAGCCGTCTCTTGGGGGCTCTACGGCGCCTCCAAGCGCAAAAAGCAACTGTGGACTTCCATGTCCAGGTCGCCTGGAGTGCTATCACACCGGGCCAGCCCGACCGAGCTATCTCGTGGGGTGTTCTCAGCGCTTCCAGGCGCAAAAACCAAGTCCTCTACAGGACAGCTGGCATTCGTCCTCTCTTCCTCAGGACCAGCGCTAGCCGACACTAAAAGTCGCACTCCTTTTCATGGTGCCGAAACCCGGGAACTATTCGTTGAATAGTTCTTGCTACACCTGATGTATCATGGATTGTGAGAACAGAAGGAGTTAACTTACATACCCATTATAAGCAGCTGTTGAGACTCTACACGTCTGAAGAAACTGGTATGGAGACTTCTTTATCAATCGGGCTAGCATTAATTGGTTGCATAGATCTGAAATTCTATGATGATGTAGCAAATTTGCTCAAGCGAGAACAAATAAATCTTGTGCCCCTGAGTATACAAGATTTTGTAGATACACACAATTTTACTGTAAAATGGAATGATCTAACAGACTATGTAGATATGAACCCCCGTCATTGCATTTATGTGACTGCCCTCTTACTCAATCTTATAGGAAAAACCCTAAACTCGACAAACTACGCCCCATGGATGGATAGACGCACCAATTCGTATGGCACAGCTATTGGGTTCGATAGAGATACCACGGATTTAATGAAATATCAACCTTCTCAAGAGTTTCCCTGTAAATACAACGCTGAGGTCAGAGCAAGATGGCAAATCCGCCGACGGTGCTTTATTGAAGCATGGGTGCTTTCTACCAAACCGGGACCCATAGGTACTGCAGCCTCCACGGTGCTAGTTTTATTGAGAGGGGCCGAGTTGACAAACTTCGCCAGCATAGTCCAGCAGCTTCTGATTCTTCACCCGGAGTTAATGGGATGGAATGCTCTAGCCAGATACTTCCCGTTAATTATCAAAGCATATAGGAAATTCACCGCTATGGGCAACTACGTAGACTGGATCAAACTGTTAATGCCAGATCAGATGGTTGAGGAGTTCAAGACTACAAATCTCAAAATACCATTCACTATCGCACGTGCAGTTGCTGAAGAATATGGGCAGACCATACATGGGCAAATACATATATATTGAACTGCTCAACTAGACACTGTCACAACAGCACTCCAGGCTAGTTGATCTTAGACAACGCTCCCGCTAGGCAAGACCAACCCTGAGAAGTTTGCCTCTGCCACCTTTCGCCTGCAGCATCGATGTGGCGATGCAAACCGACCTGCCCGCCAACAAAGAGAGATGTCTCCGGGACGACTCCTGCTACTCATCAGCCTTCAGAGCCTCCCACCTCATCCACTCATTGCACTTACTCAACAAATTTTCCAACATATAATTGTCCATAATTTTTCATTATTATTATTATACTTTTTTTCTCCCTCAATATATTTTTTTATTCATGTTCTACCAGGTCCCCAATTACAGTGATCTTCTCTCTTGGAAATGATGAGTTATTGACAAACCTAATTTTGCCACAACTCCTGTGTTGCATTTCAGCATGTAGGTTTATGTAACCTACTTTTAGATGATCGCACTGTCACCGCTGCTTGCAAACAGTGCTTGTTTTAGTGCTCAGTTAGTCTCTTTTTTGTGTGATTTTTTTGGCGTCTATTCCTTTGTTGATAGACTAGAAATCTACAGCCATCTATCAAATCATGTTGAACTTTTCTTCTAATGTTTTCCTTACTTATGTTTATATTTGGACCGAGTTTAACAGAAAGGAACCAAGCCACATCAGCTATTGCCAAGTTTAACTGGGCAATTAAATTTTTTACGAGAGAACGTTTGTTCGGATTTCTTTGAAAATTTTAAGGAATTTGCTTCGAACCATGGAGAATTTTCACTGAAATTTGCACGAAAATCCGCACAACCGTTTTATTGTAAAAAATTAAATTGCCCAATTAAATTTGGCAATAGCTGATGTGGCTTGGTTCCTTTCTGTTTAACGCGGTCCATTTGTCAATGCTATATGCATGACGCTCTTCTCTTGCTTGTTACTTTTCCAAATAAACTTGGACTTGCACTCGGTTACAGCATCTCACGGAGTTACTGTCTCTTTTTCCCTCTTCTGTTGAAAGGTTATGAAGCCTACAAGTCTAACGCAAACACGAAGTGCCGGTTAAAAGAATATGGGTGGAGAAAATTCTAAGACGAAAGAAGATACAAGTGTAAATAATACTGCTCCTGTGCAGACAATTAAGAGTTGATAATGAGATGAACGATCTAAGTACCCATGACATCATACTTTACGTACTTGTGATTCTCTTAGCGTCGATATTAATAATTTTTGGAATCACAGTTTGGTGTTGACGAAATTCGAAAAAACGCGCCCGATTAGAAAAACAAGTTCCAGAACTTCAACTATTGAAGGATAAAGTTTCGGCTTTAAAGAAATGTGTTTCGCAGAAATAAATTTTGTGCAGAAAATCGGTTCTCAAGCATTGTATTAAAATAGGAACTTTGAGGAAAATCTCTCTGTGTTTTGTACAGCAAAATTTTAGTGTACTGTACGGAAAATTTTTGTGTATGTGAACAAGATTTTTTTTTCTCTTCAAAAAGTGGTAAATACGATAAATAAAAATTATCCTGGAGGAATTCATAAAAATTGAAAGGTTAAAAGGAAAAGTAACATTCCAGTTATGGAAGCTACAGATTAACGCGATATTTAAATCCCTTGGATTACGGAACATTGTTAGAGGAAAATATGCCAGGCCGGAAAGTAAAATGGATGAAATGGCTGAGTGGGACAAAGAGGACGGTGCGGCCCAGAAGTACATATTTACCACAGTCAATAAGCGTTTAATAACTCATATAATGAATTGTGGAACTGCGGAAGATATGATGAATAAATTGCAAGAAATTCTTGAAAAAGACTACTCTAAGAAGAAATGCACTCTCATACAAGAATTTTATGAAATTAGTTACAACAAAAGTGATTCAATTTCTGAATATATAAGTTAAGTGGAGAATCTGGCACAGAGGATTAACAGTATCAAAGAAAATTCAACTAAGGATGATATGATAATTGCCAAGATTTTAACAACGTTGCCAGAAAACTACGAACCTTTCGTTTCAGCTTGGGAATCAACTGAAATCAAAGAACAAACTCTCACAAATCTGACTTGCAGACTGATGGGCGAAGAAACGAGAAAGAAGAAGCAAAAGAACGAGAAGGACAAAAGTCTTTGAACAAAGACATTCTCGTTTCACTCATCGTATCTCCCCTTTGTTTACACAAAACCTACCTATGGTGACCGAGACATGAGTGACAGTTCAAATTTCAACGATGGCTAAATGTCGTACTAGAGTGTTTTTGGTTCAATAAAAATAGGCGGTTCGGAATCCAAAGATGTCGAAAAATCATCACTGACAGTAGTTGTTTCCGGTCAAGCGAATGTAAATTCCGATCATGACAGCACACAGTGGTGGACCTTCGGAGATTTTTTCCTTGTGCTAATCCTTCTTATAATTACTTTAAAGGCGAGACAACTGATTTTTTGTGTAAGAAAGTTCGAACGAGAACTAACGCGTTTAAGACAGGCCACTGTTGAATTATGCACATTGACAATCTAAATGGGCCTACATGGTTTTGAACTCTGTGGGCAATCAAGACGAGACAGGATTGAAAGCTTTCAAAGCAGCTGTAGGAAAACTTGATGAAAACCAATCTGAATCATGGTAAGGCCTATGAACTGGTCATAATGGCTCCTTTGAAGGAAATCATATGGATACCCTTACAAGTTTTTGCCGCTGTAGCTGAAGGTCCCTAATAGTGTGTGTCTTGATATTACCATGAGCAAGTAAAAGAACTTTTTGTACATGTACTTTCTGCATGGTGACAATATAAAATATGCCCAGAAGTACATCTAGAGGTGTACGCAACCTATATGCCAAGTGTATCAGCAGAAGTCAAAGAGTAGTAACTCAGCAGCGAAGGAGCAATGCCGCCAGCCACCTGGGTTATTAGCCCTCTACCCGTATCATTCAGCAGTGTTTAGAGTCAATAGTTCTCCATGTAAATAAATATTAAGGGGAAAAAAGTAGCATGTAAAGATGCTGGTTCCAAAATTATTTCAGGTTCCTACTTCTATACGTGGGTCAATTTTGAATATTATAGGTTCATATTTCAACAGGATACAGAATGTCCTATCAAGAAGACTCCCTGGCGTTTAATTGCGAAAAGCTCTGCATGTGAAAACTTCAAAAATTCATACCTCCAAGTTTTCAGGAAGGGTTGCCATTTTGCTAGAATTCATATTTCCGTCCATAGATAACATGGAAATGTTTCATCAGGATCTGAGAGGGTAGGTTACATAGCTGGATGAGTTGGCATGGAATGATCAAACTCAACATGATTGATGCACATCACATTTCTCCCTCGAGGTCAGCTGCCATCTGATAGGTAAGCCAACAAAGGGCTGTAACAAAGACTTTGAGGAATGAATTTTAAATTCTAACATTGAGGCAAAATAATGAGCGCTTATGTTCAATTTTTCTCATTTTGTGAACCTTTGCTACATGTACTCTTACTACAAGAAATCTCAATTTTTAAAGGCATCTTTTAACTCCCTAGTCAGTGATACCCTCCAATTCAGGAACTGTTTACCCTCAAAAACTTTGGACCATTTGTTATGGATCAGTTGCGCTGGTCAAAAGATCGTGTTATGATGCTTGATTATGGTAGATTAGCTGAAAATAATAAGATACGTCCAGACAACAACTTTCTACGTGCAATATTAACCGAGGTATCGTACTTTGTAAAATTTGGTTATTGACGTTCACTACCGCGGTGGATGATGTCACGAACTGGATTTTTCAAAGGACATTATCCCAGTTTATATTGAACGTAGAGAGTTGCTTTTTGGACAGATATTATTTAAAGCTGACCAACAAGGACCAAGCATTATTACATGATTCTGTGATCAGAATGGTCACACTGACTCATTGGTAATTATTTTGTGATCATCAGTATTACATGAAGCAGGTTAAGGGGTATGACTCATTTTACTGACTGAAGAATGTGCAAAAAAAGGAAGGAAAAAACCTGCCTCAAATTGTCTCATTGTTTGCTTGACTTGATTTCTGAGTCAGTACAAAAAAGAAATGAAGATATGGAAGACAAAACACCTTTCAAGGTTATGATGAAAATCAAGAAACCATGATTAAATAGCAGCATTAAACACTAGATAACGAAGACAAAAGAGTGGTTAAATCAATTATTGAAACTGTGAAAACTGTCTTAAAGATAAAAGGCATTTTAACAAAATCTAAAGATACGATTGCATGAACAGGCTCGTCTTCAGCGTAATAAAATTAATCTCCTAATTACTAATCAAAATACGAAGTTTAAGGTGAACTTATGAGCAATAATGGACTAGATTTAAATGAGGAAAATGGAAACAACTCAAAGGTCATACAATTCAACTATTGAATCATTGGGATTACAAATTATTCAATACGATTTTTCAACAAAACTTTTGAGTGAAGAGCTTGCAAGAAAGAGAAATTTGTTTAAGTATTCTGCATGGGTACATAGTTTTTTCAGTTGCCGTAACAGCTTTCAAAGAATGCCATTGAGTGTTCAGATTTAGTAAGACATCCTCAAACTGCTAGGTTTGTAGTGAAAAACAAGTACATTGTGAAAAAAACAGGTAAATTTTAAGTACAAGGTAGGCTGCATGTTAAATGACCTGACATGCAAATAAGTTCTATGTTTTCACATTTTTACCATTCTAGCAAAATTGTGTGCATCTTTCCAAAACCCCTCTTTCTTGTAAAAATATCAACTTCACTGATTGAAATACGGAACTTTCCAATAAAATATAAGATGTTCAAGATCAGCTCGAACCTTACTCCCCGGTCACATCAACCATTATTAACAGCAGCTACATTGAGAAATTAGAAAAATTTCACAGAGGGTAGGTTACTTCTAGGAAGTACATAATTGCAATAAGTAGTCATACACTGAACTTTCAGTTAGTGTTTGCATGCTGCTTACCTTCTCAATTCAAGATGCTGAAATGATCAAATTTTTTTTAGATCAAGTTAACAATTCTAAAGTGGCTACCTTTGCCCATTCTCTCTGTTCTGGGCATGGAAGGTAATGCACCTATTATAGTGGCCGATTGGATAGACTTAGATTGAGGATTTCCACTCTATAACAGCATATTTCAATAAATAGGAGCTTGAATGACTTTTTCTTAGAAAAATGATACTTAAGCCCTGGACTCAAAGTATGTTTAAACTAATGCTTACCTTCTTAAATAAACAGGGGTATCGGTTGGATAAAAGGGTAAGGGTAAAACCTTTCTGCCAAGTTTGTACAATGAAATTGGATCATTTACTTCTTTTAAAGACCAACACTTTCCCAAGATGCATTCTATATGATATGTGAACAAGAGAGTAATAAATTTCAGGTGATTTGCACAAATCATAACATTTTAAAATTGGGAATGACAAGAGAAAAGCAATGAAACAGTTTTGAGTGTTTGACCAATGTTAGTCACCTGAAAAGTAACATTCTAATTACAAAGAGGTATAATTATCTGTTTTAAAAAAAATTAAAAAGAACCTACAAAAGATAGAAGCCAACAAAAATCAACGAATCAATTTGGTTTGGTGGCTAAAATTAAAAAAGAAAAGGAAGTGAACATCTTGCCCATAAAACTGTGTGTACAGTGTAACCTTGATAGGTCTGTGCTCCAGTAAATTAGATATGAAAGTTGACCTTCAAATTCTCCAACGTTAGAGAAATTAATCGCATCTGATCCATGCAAACTTATCAGAGGTTAATTACGTTCACAAACAGGTTACAATTGACTTAATATTGGGATAACAAAAGAAAAGAAAAAATGAAGGAAGAAAGAAAGAAAGTAGTAGTAAGATAAGTTTATTTTAAAGCAATGCTTCAGCATCTAAGGCCATTTACACCTCTGTGTGTTTACATGGAAATCAAGGTTACATCAGTGAAAATACAAAAGGGTTGAGGGGGAAAGTTAAATTTTGAAGAAAGAAAGAAAGAAAGAAAGAAAGGAAGGAAGGAAGAGAGAGAGAAACAGAGAAGAAAATATATAATGTAAGGCAAAGCGGGGAATGTTGAGAAAACAGGCAATAAGGAATGAAAATATGACAGTTCAACCAAATCTAATAATAGCCGTAAGAAGTTTTGCAAGATCCTCCTGGTTATAAACTCTTGAACTCTTGCAAACATACCAAGAAAAAGGCCACTCTAAAATTGAAATTGCATGGAAACGAGTGGGAATGACAGGAAAAGAGGGTTTCTACAGACTTGTTAACTCCGGTTGATCTCTGGAATCAACTAGTGGGTCTCTGATTAAAAAGTTACTAAAAAACATGAACCTATGATCCGAAGGTGAAGTTTTTGGCCTCATCATTCAATCCGCTATATTATGACTGGTAGAAAAAATAAAATATTAAATTGTACAAAGAATAAATCTATAATATCACAGAAATTTTGCTAAAGCGATCATTACTCTATAATTTTAGAAAATTTACATTTTAAAGTGCTTCGCCTTCAAAACGAAACTAATGACAGAATAACTCCAAGGGAATAAATCGATTTCAAGTAACGAAGTTCAATTAAATTAGTTCTCACTTTCATAAGAAAACAGGGAGATCACTAGAACTGTCTTGATAATAAATTTGACCCTTCCGAACAAAGAACAAGCGAAATCATTGTGAAACCAAGAAAAATGTTGTTTTCTGGGTAGTAGATAAAGTCAGATAAAACATTTTTACAGTTCATGCTAACGAATATAAAATTTGATCTATTCATCTAGAGCAGAGAGGAAATGATTTTTGTCTTTGCTAGTCAAGAACTTTCTTCGGTTCCCTATTTTTCTGATTAAGAGGAAATAAGCGAACGAAAATCAGAATTTTTAAACTTACAATAAAAAGCATGTCACACTGTGTATGGATGAGTAACACTGCTTTGAATGCTTGAATGTCAGATGCAAATCTTTTGAAGTTAGGTGAAGTTATTTAGAAAGTATTGAGGGACCTTCGGCTTTTAAAGAAAAAAACGCTTTTCAGCTGATTAGCAGTAATAGAGGAAGACAAGATTTCCATACTAACTGATTAAAAATTAACTTATCCTACTTGAAGGGTATTGTTAAAAAGCTACTGAAACATGTCCTATAAGGACTATTTTTGTTAAAACACGACTATAAATATATTTAAGAAGAGTAATTCTACTTGTCATGTTGGTAGTCTGATGCCGCTCCATCTGATTGGTCGGCTCTCATTAGTCTCCTTCTCGTATCTTTTTCTTGTTGTTCATGTAGTCCCTTATTCTGGATGTAACCTACTACGTGTGGCGATTTCATGCTTGAAACTTTTTTATTTTTTACCTCAAGTTATGTACATCCTCTATCAACCGTTCGCTTCCGTTGTGTGCAGAAAATGCAAAAGATTTAACAGTCGGTGGTAGGATCGGATTCGTGTGATAGTTGCTGATATGCAAGTGCTGGTTCAGTGATGGCGTCCTAGCCTCGTGTCTTTGTGTGTAGTTTCATTTTTCCGAGAAAGAGAAGTGCCGTGGAATTTGCAATCAAGGAAAATGGTGTGAAAATAATGGCAGTGGCGTATCATCATTTAGTGAAGCCATTTGACGGCACCAGTTTTGACACATGGAAATTTAGATTGGAGGCTCACTTGGGAGGGGAAAGCTGCAAAGAGGCCTTGTACAAGAAGACCACCACGACGCAGTATCAGTGTGATCTACTAGATGTTAAAGCTCAGGACATTATTGTTCAATCTTTATCAGACACCGTTATAGACACAGTACAGGGGAAGTCTAGTAGTAAGGATATGATGGAAGCCCTTGAAACTGTTCACACATGGAGAAGTCTTCCCGCGAGGATTTGTCTGAAATGAGAACTGTCCGGAATGAAATTCGCGAGAGGTAAATTATCTGAATTTCTAGAAAAGATCTTTAGTAAGCTGTTAGAATTAGGACCTTTGGACTCTGGTTGAAAAACCTTCGTCTCCAAACGGAAGAACCGGCGGGACCCGGACTCTCCCATCAAAGTTCCATCAAAGAAGACGAAAGAAAGACAATCTGTTTCCAAAGTGTCTAGTGTTAAGCGACCTAGTATTAAGAATGATAATATTTTTTGTAATATAGAATTAAAAGAAGAGGAAAAGACAGAGAGGACCCCCCCCTCCTATTTTTGTATTATTTGTAACTGACCCTACAGGATTTAGGAAAAATGTGATCAATCCAATTGATACAAGTTCAATGATGAGAATTGTAAATAAATTTTAGGTGAAAATTATTGCGTCATCTATGACTAAGTATGATGAACTCATAGTTAGCCTTAAGCAGAGAAATGACATAGTTAAGTTTCACACTTATCAGAAAGCAACAGATAAGACAATTAGGGCAGTAGTGAGGGGCCTCCCTGGAGATTATCTTCCTCTGGATTTAAAATCGGCTCTTGAAGAAAGAGTACCAGGAGTAGTTGTGAAAAACGTGTCCCAAATGCGCCATCAAATCACAAAAAATCCACTTCCTTTGTTTTTCGTGGATTTTTTGAGAAAAGTTCATGTAGCCAAAATCTGGCAAATAAAATCTATCAAAGATTTTGTTGTGACTCCTGAGCGTCCTGAGGGTTGTCGGGAAGTCATTCAGTGTAAGAACTGCATTACCTACGGACATTCTCAATCACGATGTTATCGTGATCCTCGATGTCTGTTGTGCGGGGACTTTCATGCCCTGTCTGATTGCCCACGGCCCCAGGAATGCCAAGAAATACAACTCCCTGTGTTTCCCTCATGCGTTCACTGCGGTGAAATGCATGTGGGAAACTGTCATGAAATATGACAACACCTGATAAGTGTTGAACGACCTTTCTATGTTTAATGTTTACTCTTCAATATTGACGAATGCACCTCGCCTGCGAGCGTTGACCGAGGACAATTACCTGTATATAAGTATCTGTTTTGTGAATAAAGTTTGTTAGTATGAAAAGCCGATTTTACTGGCGTTATTCTGTGTGTGCCGTCCTTTTCCCCCCTTCTCCCGCCCATACATCTTGACAGGTTATGGAGCCCAGTCACTACAGCAATCACTACAGTCATCGTGAGTGAGTAACTCTGCAAATAGCTGGTATCTTTGTCTTTGTTCAAGTTTGCACCGAACCGAAATTATGAGTCACTTATCCAATGGGCTGGTTCGACTCGTCTAGTAAAGAATCCAAGGAGAACGTCAACACTCAGACTCAAACCGTGGAGCAGGAGGTTGCAGTGGACTATCACAACTACATCTTGTACGGACTGATCATCGCACTAGTACTGGCTTATATTTTGGTTTGGTGGTGCAAATTGAACTATAGGACTCAGAGAAGGCTACGAGCAGAGGTACAAGAACTCAAAAAGGTTACATCCACAACTCCAGGACAGCGTCTCTGAGGCAGCAGGCATCCAGAGGGAGCTTCGGGCGGTTCTAGCAGGTGGACATCTGACGTGAGGTCCAGGAGCAGAGAACGGGCGCCAAACTCAGGATAGCAGCCAAGATGGAGAACGCATTCATAAAAATCGAGAAACTTCGGGGTGAAGACAACTTTCAAATATGGAAGTTTCAGGTGACGATCTTGCTTAAGGATAAGGAAGCCTTCAGCATTGTGGAAGGGAGGCAAGCAAGATCATCAACGAATGCAGAGGAAGCGCACCAATGGGATCTTAAGGACGTGCAGGCACAGAAGATACTCGTCCAAACTGTGGAGACAGGAATCTTGACGCACATCATGACAGCGACAACGAGTTTCCAGATGTGGACAAAGTTGCTTGAGCTTTACGAGAGAAATACGGCACAGAGGAGATGCAACCTACTTCAGGAGTTTTATGGGTTCAGGATGACGAAAGGAAGTAAACTGGTGGATCAAATCGGAAAACTGCAGAACTTGGCGTATCAACTGGCTCAGACAGAATGCAGGATTAGCGACGACATGTTGATCTCCAAAGTGCTCGTATCTCTCCCGGAAAGTTTCAGGTACTTTGCCACGTCTTGGGAATCAACAGAAGCTAGGGAGAAGACTCTTCAGAATTTGGTGGCGAGACTCGCGGCAGAAGAATCACGAGGTGGCGTGAGGACTTCGGGCACAAAGGACGAATCTGGAACAACGGCGTTTCAGGCGACAAGGAAGGGAAAGTGTCACAACTGCGGCATCCCTGGACATTGGAAACGAGAATGCAAGAAACCACCTAAGCAGCAGAACAACAACAACAGCGGCCACAACAATGGAAGGAGTGGACCAAACAAAGGAAAAGGCGACAAGAAGAATTCAGATCAAAAATCAGGCTACCATGCAGACAAGGACGCAGCTGGCAGCATTTGCTTTCTAACAGAAAACGCAGTGAGTGAAAATAAAAATTGCATTGAATTCTATGTCGATTCTGGTTGTTCTGATCATCTAGTGTTTCAAAAGGATTTATTTAGTGAACTAACATTACTAAAGGAACCTATACATATTGCCATAGCAAAAGAAAATGAGTTCATTGAGGCTGTTGGTATCGGAAATATAAATGTTTTGAGTGAAGTAGGGAATAAAAAAATCGATTGCTGCATAAAAAACGTTCTGCTAGTCCCAAAACTAAGGAAAAATCTCCTATCCGTAAGAAAACTGAACTTGGCGAATATAAAAGTAATTTTTGAAAATGAGGAAGTAACTCTATCCTGTGAAAATGAGATAATTGGTGTGGGATATGTGAAAAATCTTTATAAAATTCATTTCAAGGTTGTTATGAATCAAGCTCTGGTCGTAGAAGTTGACAATGAATTAGCTATGAAATGGCATAAAAGACTTGGCCATATCAGCAACACATACTTCGAGAAGCTGATTCATAACAATCTGGTCAGTGGCTTGGAAAAGGTCCGAGTCAGCAAGGTCGCATTCTGTGAATCTTGCATAGCTAGTAAACAAACGAGATCAGTTTTC